TGCAAATGGTAGAGAACGCAGAAGAATTAACAGTAGTTGAGGGTGCTCAAAGCGACGACCTGAATCATAAAAGTTCAGGCTATCCTCAGTTGATGAAGCATTGATCTGCAAGAAAGAGCCAGGTATACAATTAAATTTAAGCTTATGTCAAAATCTAAAACAGTAAGTTTATCACAAAAAAGGGATATCCTCCCAATCTTTTTCTGACCTTTAATCATGATTAATTATCACATTGAAATAGCCATGGCTTATGATGATAAATATAGATTAGACATATGACAGCTAGAAATTGCTCTCCGAACCATTTACCATTAGGTTTCAGAGATATTTGTAACAAGGTACAAATTAGATTGCAACTTATAAACAGCATAGTGTTCTCTCTTTCTCAACCTATTCTTTTCTTTAAGCCAGCCATTGTTAACGATAGATGAAACAAATGAAAGATCAATAATATGTCATACCGAAGCCCCAAGTAAAGTTGTGTAAACATTGTCGGTCATCAGTCTGTTTGGAGCTACTTGAAATGCTTTCAGCAGAGCAAATAGAAGCAATGAGACTTTATCATCAAACATTGTTCCACCATTTTCATGAAGCCCACTACCCATGAGGTTACTCATGACATCAGATTCGGCACCAATGGAAAATTTTAAGTGCCCTTTTGAAATCAATGCACCGATCAATCTAATGATCCCAATCATGACACGATCTTTATCGTCAACATTGTTTCTTGCATTATTATTGAATGGAGTTTCAGAAAAAGAGGATACTCTGTCAGCATTCATGGAATTAGAGATGGTAACTGAGTCACTATCACAAATGGCAGTGGCAGATCCATGTGCTTTTTCTTGTTTAACTGACTCTGTTTCCTTGAAAGATCCTTCATTATCATCATGAGCATGTGACTCATCCTCATTACCTTGAGGAACTGAATCGAAGTGCTTCAACAAACCACGCCCATCGTGTTGACTCTGATCACTATGATTAGTCGGGACACTTGTTTGACCCTTGGCTACAGAATATGTGACGTCTTCCTCACCAGATTTAGCTTCTCTCTGGAGCAGAACAAGAAGTGTTTCTATCCCACCAGATGTGATAAATGCCTCTGCAAATGTCTGAGCCTTTGCAGCATTTGGTTGTACAACCAACCTAAACATGAGATGCAATACCCTTGCAACCTAAATAGAGGTAGGAACTGAATGATATTAAAAGACTGAGGAACGACACATGTTTAACAATTATGAAGTGTCACTAAGAAACGTGTTACCTGATTTGGTTGTGGACTGTCAATTATGAACCCAAGTAACAGATGGACATCAGCAGCAGCAAACGAAGGAGATGCTGCTCCCATTAGAAGTTCAATAATCACCAAAAGTTCATCAACCAATGCATTAACTTCTCCCACTTGACGTTCATCCCCATCTAGAGAAAAAGTGTTCACAGAGTCTTTCTCTTGAATTGTCCAGTAATATCTTCGACATCCACCCAGAAGTATCTGAATGGCATCAGCATTCCTCATAGCTGTTGCTTCAGTGAAAACCATATCTTGAAGGGATGACAATAGCTTTTTTTGGAGTCTATAATTACACACACTCCATATCTTCAGATCCAATAATAATGTACGAAAGAGCTGTACTTTAAAAGCATGATTGATCTTTTGAGATTGGCAAAGCGAAACAATGGCAGAAACTAGTTCCTCATCTCCTACTCTATCGTGCTTGCGATCAAGGGATGCAAGTGAGTGAAGAAGATAGCCCAGAACTGTTGCCAGGATTTCAGGCCCCCTAGAACGAGACAACTCTTCATTGTTCCCAGGATGTTGAATAGCAACTGAGATAATTCTAAATATTGGTGCAGCAAGAGAATATGTTGTCAGAGATGATGGAAGATTTCTAGAAAACGGTTCCAGACTATCTTTGTGCACACTGCTAACGGTTAGAGGAAGCAAAGACATGGGTCCTCCATAAGCTAAGGCCCAGAAGGACTCCACTGACTTCACTCTCGTTGCAACATGGACTTGTCCAATTACCTCAGCTGGTCGTCTTTGAGTGCCTTAAAAAGAAAAAAGTAATGGATTTCCAAAGTAAGAAAAAAAGCAAATAACAAACTGTGCAAACTTCATATGAGAATGGAGAATAGTGATACCGATATAGATAAAGCAAGAACAATTAAAAGTATACAACAAATCGACCAAATGAGAGTCTGAAAACAAGTAATAAAACACACCATACTAAGGAACAAAGATTTTTCAAAATTGTAGTGTTTTGGACGAAGTAGAGCAATATTAGATATATTATAAAAATCATGAGTATTATCATAGGCACCTGCTGCTCCAGAAAGAGAAGCATCTGGACAAAACCGCCCACTTAGTAGAAATGGGTGGTAAAGTAGGTGAATGTATACTCCAAGCTCTAAATCCAAAAAACTGTTTTCCTCTGCCTCGTTACGGACACGGTCATTTGTAGCTAACCATGGAATACCTGCCCCATCGCCAAAGCAAGGCAAAGCATCCCCACCTCTAGTTGCCAATCGTGTCATTATTTCAGGACCAATTGGTTCTTTAAATATATAAACTGGTCCAATCTCAGCAAACAAAGCACACTGACGTCGACGACGTTGTAGACCAGCAGCTGTAGATGGAGGATTTGACCCGATGCAACAGAAAGAAAGCGGTTTGGATATACGAGGATATTCAAATGGATGAGTTTCATACAAAGACCCGTCAATATATAGCCGCAATTCACTGTCCGAATTCCCTAAAAGTCCCTGATTGCAGGTATGCTCCAGGCCTATAAAGTACCAACGCTGAGGCTTAAACGCATGAGTGAAATGCAGTGAAGTTTTACTTCCTTTCCCACTGCCACTCTCAACCACCAAAAATTGTGCATAGAAATATGCTTCAATCCCCTGATTATCAGGGGTCAAAAAGCTGAACAGACGAGGCATATGAGCAGTACCCTCACCAGTGTGTACATTTGTAGCCGCTGCACTAGACGTCTTCCCTGATTTGGCTGCGGAAGCAGCAGCGATTGCAGCTGCAGCGGTTGAAGCATCTAATGTGTCAGCAAATGATTCAATATAAATCCAAGTTGCAAATGCATAGCCATTGGTAAAAGGCCAACGACTTTCTCCCGGACCAAGTAAGCCTGAGCTTTCGCCAACAAATTGGAAACTACACGCAGGTCCTCTTGATTCTTTTCCATTCATTGCCTTCTCCAAGGCATCCATCAATGGACTTGACCACACTGTAGGAAGAGAATTTTTAATAACATGAAGCCATCTATACAAATCATCAACGCTAAGAGAGTGGCCAGCTAAATGTTGAATACAGTGAAACAAAACTGCTGCATTCCACATCATAGTGGCGTCCTTGGATATTATCTCCTCGACTGATCGCAAGAGAACACTTAATAAACCCGCCATGGAACACATAGCTCTGTTTCTCGTGCAAGAACGTAAAATTGCTAGCAATCCGCGCACCATACGGGTCCTGGGGGACATAAAATTGACACTGTCACCGGAACAAGGTAAGCAAGGAATAAGCTCACCAGCAACAATGGCAGCACGAGAGTTCAACATCACACTAGGAGGATTGCTATCTTCATCCTCTTCAAAACTCTCAACTCCACCCATGGTCGCAAGAAGTGAATCGATGACAAGAAAAGCAATAGTCTCTGAATCACCTCCAGACCCAAAACTCTCATCACCGCTAACAATATTTTTGAGTTTGTCTAAGCTCTCAGGCTTACCCATGATAGCTGAATCTACAAGATGCAATAACTCTGGAGAAACGTTTGGCATTGTGGCCTTTGGCTTAGGCTTCTGTGGGGACTGAACCATAGGATATCCAGATTCTTGATGGTAGAAAGAATCCAGACTGGTAGCTGAAAGGGACTGGTTGAGGTGCTTATCTTGATCACCTAGAGAAACCTGGTCAAAATGGTCATCCTTGAGGACTGCATCAACTGAGCTAATCCCTTGTAAGTGATCAGCATCATCCATTCCTACCAGAGCATGTTCATCAGCAAGAAAACCAGAATTATCTACAACACTAGGCTTATCATCAGCAACATCGAGGTGTCCAACAGAGGCTTTGGAGAGATTGTTTACTTTGTCTTCTTCCATTTTAGGAACTTATAGAGAAACAGTCCTTTTCTATTCCACCACCTGCTTAACATCCATAAATTAATCACAGATTTAGCACAAAATAAAATAGTGACAGTTACGAACATGAATCTATTCATAGTAACTTTTAACTATAAACATGAAATTTCAAACACCTTCCCCTTGGCAGTTTTAACGTCCGAGCACACGAAAAGGCTTCGGAGAAATCAAACATGAAATCTCTCTTTTCCCCAGAATAAAAATCAGATCTTTCCGAGGATCGATGAGTAAGATATCAGAATTTCATACGAATAAACTCAGATTCCGCGTTTAACGCACGAAAATGTAAATATTCCCATAGAGAGAATCGAAAACGTGAAAAGATAAAAGAGGTGTTCAGACAACGCCGCGAGTAAATAGACGTACGGATCGGAGATAATGTCGGAAAAAAAACAAAACAAAAAAAGGTGAAATGGAAGGATTTGAGATTACCCGGCTGGTGTAGCTAGAGTGGGTTAATTGCCTTGTCTCCGACGCCGTAAGAAATGCATTGTAGAATCGGTGAAGGAGAAGGATCTAATCGGAGAAGAGGAGCAGGGACTATCGGAGAAAGGCGCGCGCGAGGAAGAGGGACTGTTGTTTGATTCAGCAATTTCGCACCCATAAATAAATCAATTTAAAAGAATAATGTGTTTTCCCTTGAGATCAGCTCCCTCTCTAGAGGAGTGGTCTGGAATTTGTAACGACACCGTTTTAAGAAAAAAGAAAGGCATGCGACTTCACGCGCTAGATGGCGCGTCCACACATGTATATCTAATAGTCAGTCAGTTTCTTTACAAGCACGGTATATATATGGTTAGGGTCGATTTGTTGTTAATTGATACCGGTCCAAAATAAACTCTTATTTATTAAGAAATTTCAGTAAGAAATTACAGAAACAAGGAGAAGAAATTACGAAAGACTAATTAATAGAAATAATTGTACGCTTTCTCGAGGGTGTCGGAGTAAATTGGTCTGGTCTTGTGCAAGGTAAATCCGAAAGTCTCGTCCATGTTGAAATCCTCAGGAACGAACATGTTTTTGAGGTTTTTAGGATGCCATTCAAACGAATAGATAAGTGAAGCAAGCATGAGAGGCACAATCCTCAAAGCCAGCGATATTCCAGGGCATATCCTTAGTCCAGCTCCAAACGGTATCATCTCGAAATCTTTACCTATCGTCTCAATGTCTCTTCCCAAGAATCTCTCTGGCTCGAACCGTTCCGCGTTTTCCCAAACGGTCGGGTCTCGTCCTATTGCCCAAGCGTTTACCACAATCTGAGCATTTTCAGGAATGGGGTACCCTAATATCTCTGCGTCGTCTGACTCAGCTTTCCGTGGGATCAGAAATGGACTCGGTGGGTGCAAGCGTAGAGTCTCTGTTACAACAGCTTGTAGATAGGGAAATTCTAAGAGATTGGAGTCACGAACGAAACGGTTTGGGCCAACAATAAAGTTGATCTCGACTTTAGCGTTAGCCATAGCCTCTGGGTTACGAAGTAGCTCAGCCAATGCCCATTCCACAGTGGTTGAGTTCGTTCCCGTTCCCGCTACAAACAAGTCCTTCAAATCAACAAATAAAATGAGAGTACATTAATAATTCAAAACAAGACATTTATATGATTATAGCAGGCTTGCGTTTACAAAAAAAAAAAACAATACTATTATACCAGCTTGCGTTTCCATTTAATAGCTACAAATTATATTACAACAACAACAAAACAATATTTTTCCTTTTTATCTCCTGTTTCCATGTTAAATCTTATGTCATGTTTCCAAATAATTAATCATTGAATATATGCGTAAAACAACAAAGAGAAATATATTAAAAAAAATGAACCGAACCATAATTTTGAGACTCGCTTACCAATAGAAAGTGTTTGATATCGTTCACGTCGACTGATCCGTCTTCTTGAATAAGATCAAGCAGTGAATCCAACAGATCGATTATCGATGCATCTCTAGGTTTAGCCTGTAATGATCTTCCCGCGATGCGAGCATCGATGAGCCCTTGAAAGACCTGAAACAACCTTTCGGAACACATCTTCATCCCTTTCCGGATACCTTGCAGATCAAGAAACTCGAGACACGGAAAATAGTTTGCGAGGTTTGGTTTGCCCATGATCTCCATCATACGAGACAGCGATTCCTGGAATTCCAGGGAGGCTCTTGAGTCGTAACTACCTAAGTCGGTCGAGAAGACAACGTTTGAGATTACATTAAGCGATGTGACGAAGCAAGCACGAGCAATGTCGACGGAGAAGCCTCGTTCGCCTCTTTCGATAATGAATGTTATAAGTTCCTTTGCTTTCTTGGACCGTACGGCCTTCGTGGCTTTGTGACGCTCCCGTGAGAAAAGTTTTGTCGCCAATACCTTCCTCCATAACCTATTTATTGGAACATGCATATAGTAAATCAAACCAAAGTAACCCAACTAAAACTTTTATTACAACCATACTGAAATTGGTATCATTAACTATCTAATTATCTATGTACGTTGAAAAAAAATAAACCAAGCGGAAATCAAATCAAACCAAACCATGTAAACCAAAAATCATAAAAACTACATTTTTATGTTAATCATATTTAATCACATTAATTTTTTTTTTTTTATCACATTAAATTATAACTTACCTCCAACGAGACGACGTCGAAGGTAGCCATGCTATGGAGACTTCGTGGTGGCCGATGGGTCGAACCGTCTCGCTAAATGTTCGTCCAGAGAAGACATGGTCAAGCGTTTTCAGAACCTCTCTTGCTGCATCTGGTGAAGATATGACCACCGTGGTTAAGCTTCCAAGCCTAAGACTCATGACGGGTCCATAAACTCTCGAGAGATCAGCAAGTGAACGGTGAGGAGCTTTTCCAATGATCTGGAGAAGGTTTCCGATTATGGGCCATCCCGGTGGTCCCGGAGGTCCCGGAAGCAGTGGGCTTGATCTCCGTCTTCGTGATTTAACAGCAACAAGGAGAAGATATGTTAAAAGGAAGCTAATTAGTAGCAGAAGCAGAGCTAGAACAACGGTGTGTTTCATCGTTACTTGGTCGAGTGTGTTCTTCTAGCCACATTTTTTACTTTATTTATAGAAATTGTACTATAATTATCATTAATAAAATTGCTATCGTTATGGGCTAAGTTTGAGCAACAGCTTCATTCTAATCTAAATACGCTGGTTGGCAAAAGAGAAAAAAAAAGACAGAGAAAAAAAAAACCCCATTTCTGCCTAGTGCCTAGGTGTCAAAAAGTCAAAAGCACAATATATCGGTCGCTAGAAAAACTAAAGAAACAATATGTGATATGTTTTGTAATTGTCAACACCACATATGTGATATGTCTTAGTTATGTTGATTTGTTGATGAATGATTTGATATATATGGAACGTAATTCAATTTTAATTAAGCTAATATATTAATTAAGACTTCTTTCATAGGTGGAGACTAAACTGGAAAGAAACCTAATTAGACCGGTCGATACAAAAACGAAAATAATGTCAAACACGTTTCTTGATTGGCACGACACAAAGTGGTTCTGTTTTGTGCAATGTAGCACCGAAAGCCTCGCTCATATCCACATTTTCAGGAACTACACCGTCTTGATACTCCCAGTCAAAGCCATAGAGAAGAAACGCAAGAACTAGGTGCATTATCCTAAACGCGAGTGGCATTCCTGGACAAATCCTTCGTCCAGCTCCAAACGGAATCAGTTCAAAATCATTGCCTTTCACATCGATTCTTCTCCCCAAAAACCTCTCTGGTTCGAACTGCGTAGGATTTTCCCACACGCTCGGATCTCGTCCTATCGCCAACACGTTCACGAGAACCTTGTTTTGAAGCACAGTAAGTAATTACAAAACACAAAAAAACCCCACCATATATCCTTTAGAAATATTAATCAGTTTGGCATTAGCTATTAGATTATGGTTCGTTTAAGTTTCTTAAGAATACTTAAGTTACATACCTGAGTATTCTTAGGAATGAGGAACTCGAAAATTCGGGCATCATCAGACACGGATTTTCGAGGGATGAGAAAAGGAGCAGGCGGATGCAAACGAAGACTCTCTTTCACAACTTCTTGTAAATAAGGTAGTTTAACGATATCCAGTTCGTGAACGATGCCGTTTAGCCCTATCACTTGTCTTATCTCTTCTTGAGCTTTCACTATCTTCTTAGGGTTTCGAAGTAACTCCGCCATAGCCCACACCACCGCACTCGAACTGGTGTCTACTCCCGCCAAAAACAAGTCCTACCCACACATTAAATTTTAATTACGAGCATGTATATAAAAACCATGCAGTTTGTTCTGTCTTGATCAAGACTTACGAGAAGCAGATGTTTGATGTCATCATCATCAAGTTCTGACTTCTCGTCTTGAGCAATATCCAAAAGAGCATCTAACATATCGGTGTTGTTTCTACAACCGTGCGATGCTCTCTTTGAAAAACCCTAAAAAAATTTGTGCATCAGTAGCCTCGCTTCTTTTCTAGCTCCTTGCAAGTCAAGAAACGCAATAAAAGGGAAGAAATCAGCGAGGTTTGGTTTTCCGGCGATCTCCATCATCCGAATCACTAGGTTATGGAAATCGTGAGATGTCTTCGAGTGATGACTGATGATCAAAGTTTGCGAGGTTTGTGGAAAACAGAGCGTTTGAAATTATATTGAGTGATGTGACGAATAAATTTTGTTTATTTTGTTTATTTTTTTTGAAAAAGTGATGTGACGAATGATGTTCGAGAGATGTTCACAGCTTCTCTTCTCTCGCTGCATTTGTTAACGAAGCTCGTGAGTTCTTGCGCCTTCATCACCCTTAAGTCACTGGTTGCTTCTAAACGCTGCGTTGATAATAAATGATTCGTCGCCATCTTCCGTAGAAACCTGGCGTCGTCAAAGCATACACAGAATGCGGAAACTAAATTATTTTAATATTTCATTTATAAAAAACGTTATTCATTATACCATATATATATAGAAGTTTAATTCAATTATTCATGTATTTATCAAAACTTAACCAAACCGACTTGAATGTATTATTTACCTTGGCGACAAAAAAAAAATGTATTATTTTTATTTAGCAATAAATCATATATGTTGCATCTTTTTAGTACTTGGCGGAGATAGATAGATCAAGTGTCATTAGATCAAGAAGACACGTTATTTGTGATTTGTCCCTTCACCGATTTCATTGTCTTGTAGTTATATAATTAGTCGACTTGATTTATCTCTCTGTTCTTTTCTTTTTCCGAATAAATATTATCAGACAAAAATATTGAAATAAAACTATTTAGATTAAATTTGTTTACATCAACTAAAATGATTATATATACTGTAACTGTTGAACTGAATCATAACAACGGGATAACGATACAGCATTTACCGGGAGGCCGGATCTTTCATATATATATTTCGGCTACGCATTTTCTAATTTCTACGAGTGGTCTCACGAACTTGTATAGCTAGTTCATCACTGGTCAACGGTCAACATCACCTTGAGTATGTGTGTATGTGGTAAAGCACGTCTTTGTGAACTCTTTGAGATATTTTTTTTACCAAGTCACGTGGATCGTCGAATCATCAAAACGTTCGTTGCCTCGTTAACGAGGCAGAATCTTTAATTACTTTATCTGGTCCATGTATTTCTGCTCACATTCCACTTTTTACCACATGTTTTTGTAATGTTCTGATCATACCCTATTCTCAATTCTATTGGACAGCTCAATGATGACGACAAAATAAAAATTAAAAAAAATTGGACAGCTCATGGTTTTTCTTTTATTATTTTTTTTTTGAAAAAGAGTTTTTCTTTTATGTTGATATTTGAGCATATATGGAAATTTATCCAAAAAATATATATATATTTAGTACTTAAACCACAGTATCAATTAACATTATATATTTATAAATATATTTGTATTGTCTGCTTAAAGCAGAGATCTTTTGAAGAATAGTAGTATCAGAGACAAAAGGGGCAAATTTTTTAAAAATATGAAAATAAGGGACTAATAATAGTGCTTTGTTTGGGAGATGAATTAAATACAATCTTAATTCGAAAAGAACCGTTTCTCTCGCCTCGCGTCGAAGCATCTCCGTCCTCCCCTTTGCCATTATCTCTCTCTCACACACACTCTCTCTCTCTCTCTCTCTGGCCTACCAAAAAAAAAATACTTGAATGCATTCTTAATTTGTTCTGATTCTCCCACTTGACCAATCCCGTGAAGATAAACACTGCTGCCGACGCTTCTCGCTGATTGCTCTGACCTGGCCTGTGTTGCGGAAGAAAAGGTTTCGATTGCGCTTTTGGTTCGATTTCTAGGGTTTCTTCGACATACTGATCGGTTCTCTCAGTTTCTTCTGTTTTGGTTGCAGGAGAATGGGTTTGATTTCTGGAATTCTGTTCGGGATTGTCTTCGGCGTAGCTCTAATGGCTGGCTGGAGTCGTATGATGACGCACCGATCCTCCAAGCGAGTCGCCAAGGTTCGATTGAAATCAATCTTCTTTTTCTCTGATTGATTTGAAATCCCTGATTTGGTTCTTCAATTGAATCCTCTGCGATAAGTTTTGAGATTCTAAATCTGGTTTTCTAAATTAGATAAATTGGTTGTTTCGGGTCTTGGGATTAGCTGCAACGTGTAGATTATCAACATTGGCTTTAGCGAAATTCCTCTGCTACTTCTAATTATTGACATTAGTGTACCAAGTTTGTGTTCATCTGTCGATTCTACTTAACAAATTCCTCTGCTGCTGGTTTCCACTCTCGCTAATTTTATTTGTTTAACCATGATTTTCTGTGAAAGAAGACGACATGGCTTGCTTTACTTGCTCAGTTTTGAGCCTTGAGGAGCAGGATCCTTCCTACCTCTGACATGAACACTATATCATTGACTAGTTATCGTCTTGTCTTCTGGCAGGCAGTTGATATGAAACTTCTTGGCTCTCTTAGCAGGGAAGATTTGAAGAAAATATGTGGTGATAATTTTCCACAGTGGATATCGTTTCCAGCATTTGATCAGGTACTTCTCATGATCTCATCATCACTTTTGGTTATATTTTCTAGTCAATGTTCATTTTCCATGATTTTTGCGTGGTCCTTGGTTGACATGATTTCTGTGAGTCATTGAGTTGTTAGAATATAAATGTAGAACTTTTTGCCTCGGTAGAAAATCTAGTTCTGGTTCCATTATCCATGACATCAACAATACTTGATTTTGCGTACATATTATATATGTCTATGGTTTTGAAACAAGTCTAGGACAGTTTAAGCAGTTGGATTTTTCAGGAAAAGTTACAAAATTCTCAAAATCCAAACCTTGTTTACTTTATCTTTTCAGGTCAAATGGCTGAATAAATTACTGAGCAAGATGTGGCCATATGTTGCTGAGGTGAGATACTAATCTTCTTTTGTAGCAATATTAGGTGTTTTCTTTTCCTGTGTATATGGTTGGAAGTTTGCTATTAAACCATTAGCATATTTACCATGAATAATGGTAACTGAAGATATCCTTGGAAGGGGAGAGTTATACTGTCAAGTTGTACTCCAAAGTTCGAAACTATTGAAGAAGAGTGAGATTTAGCTTGTCTAGAATGGACTCGTGGACTGATTCTTTTTATCTGGTACACAAATCTAGTGTTTACTGGCACCTAACATAGGTCTAATTTGTTGGAATAGTCACACTTGCCACAATGCTGCTTAGCAATCAAAGAGTGTAATTTTTGTTGTTCTTTTGACTAATCTCCAGGCAGCAACTATGGTAATAAGAGATTCTGTTGAACCTCTGCTTGAAGATTACAGACCACCAGGAATTACTTCCTTGAAGTTCAGCAAATTGACGTTGGGTAACGTAGCACCAAAGATTGAAGGTAAAGTACAGTGGAAAATTATCGTTTTTGTGATGGCTATTCCTTTTATCTTCCACTGTTCAACTTTGCATTTTCTGACCACACACCTAATAAATCATTGTTGCAGGTATTCGTGTTCAAAGTTTCAAGGAAGGTCAAGTCACAATGGATGTGGATCTTCGATGGGGTGGTGATCCAAATATTGTTTTAGGTGTCACAGCACTTGTTGCTTCTATACCCATTCAGGTTGCTAGAGAGATATTTTAGTATCATTCGTCTGGTTTGTCGTTTGTGCCTAATAGAGAATTGATCATCTCCACAAACACTTGTTTCTGGCTGAAACAGTTGAAGGATCTTCAAGTTTTCACAGTTGCACGTGTTATCTTTCAACTTGCGGATGAGATTCCTTGTATATCTGCTGTTGTTGTTGCTCTACTTGCTGAGGTACACTTTCTTCTGAAAAGATCCAGAATAAGATGTATTTTTCTTATACCATTCTCTCCTGTCTTACGATGGCCAACTTTTTGAATGATCCCAACCAGCCAAAACCGAGAATTGATTACACTCTGAAGGCTGTTGGTGGAAGCTTAACAGCAATTCCTGGACTATCTGATATGATTGATGTAAGTCCCTTTCTTGTTATAGTTCAAGCAGCTTCCAGCTGTTTTATTTGTTCTCATTTGGTCTTATGCACAGCCTTTTGCTTCCCTCTCTGTTAGGATACTGTTGATACTATCGTCAAAGACATGCTTCAGTGGCCTCATAGAATTGTAGTTCCCATTGGTGGTATTCCTGTTGATTTAAGGTACTTTAATTTGTTCTCCTTCTTTTTCGTTTTGCGTTTTTTCACTCAACAAATAATTTTCCGGCCACTACCTTTCTTTTTGTCTTTCCTCCTATTCTGATATAGATAGGATTTACTTGGGAAGTGATTATACGTATTGAGAAAGCACTAGATAGTTTGACAGTTCTCTCTATATTTTCTGTTTCTCCTTCTCAGTGATTTGGAGCTTAAGCCACAGGGAAAGCTTATAGTAACAGTTTTGAAAGCAACAAACTTGAAGAACAAGGAGTTGATTGGAAAATCTGACCCTTATGCTACTATCCACATTCGTCCTGTATTCAAGTATAAAACAAAGGCAATCGAGAACAATCTGAATCCTGTTTGGGACCAAACATTTGAATTAATTGCAGAGGACAAAGAAACCCAGTCGCTCACTGTAGAGGTCTGGAATCTGAAACATTTGTGCTTCATACTAGTTCGACTTTGCCATTGCAAACATTAAACTATTCTCGCTGTTCTATTAAAAATTTTGGCAGGTATTTGATAAAGACGTAGGTCAAGATGAGCGTCTAGGGCTTGTGAAACTTCCCTTGAGCAGTTTGGAAAACGGAGTTACAAAAGAAATGGAGCTAAATCTGTTGTCTTCACTTGATACTTTGAAAGTGAAAGATAAGAAAGATAGAGGAAGTATAACTCTTAAGGTATAGATCTTCCCTCAAATAAACAGCAAAAAATTTTCCTTTCCGCCGGTTCCTAAATTGACTTGAATTGAAGGTACATTATCATGAGTTCAACAAAGATGAGCAAATGGCGGCATTAGAAGAGGAGAAGAAAATCATGGAGGAAAGGAAGAGACTGAAAGAAGCAGGTGTGATAGGTAGCACAATGGATGCAGTTGGGATGGTGGGAAGTGGGCTCGGTGCTGGTGTAGGAATGGTTGGGACTGGGATCGGCGCAGGAGTCGGGTTGGTTGGGACCGGAGTGAGCTCAGGTGTTGGGATGGTTGGTAGTGGCTTTGGGGCTGTCGGTAGCGGATTGAGCAAGGCAGGGAGATTTATGGGTAGAACAATTACAGGTCAGTCTAGCAAACGCAGTGGTTCCTCCACACCTGTGAATACCGTACAAGAGAATGATGGTGCCAAACAACAGTAAGTAAAACATTGGGTTCAAGCAAGATTTGTGATCATAACATCGTGTTACTCTGGCCATGCGATGGCGACTTCTTTTTTACTCTTTATTGTTAATTGTCTTTTCTTAACTTGACTCGAATTTGGTTTCTGGATTCACTGCATCTATTTGTTTTTCGTTGTGAGCTTTCCAAATTAAAAAATCTTGTACAAAGTCATTTGTTTAATCGTCCCATAAACAATAGATCTTCCTGTCTAATGATTTGGTGGTTTAACTTATTAGAATGTTATATTACCAAAATGAGAAGATGTGTCAGGCTTTCATATATACACTTGTTAATTATATTTGAAACATGCTAACATCATCGGTTTAAGTTAACAAAAAAAAAAAAAAACCTGATTGATTGGGAGTAAAATGCTCAGTTATTGAGACTTAAAGAGTGCAAATAAATAGATAAGTACCAATGGCTTTCACAATCACACTTTCAGATATAACGTCGCACTCATAGCTTTCTTTGTCTAGTAATAAATTCTAATACCATAAAAATTCATGACGAGAAAAGGTAGAGAGGCTTTACCCAACAAACAAATATCCCTAAAAATGATAGGAAAATCTTTCTTATCTAATTTTGGATTAGTTTTCAAAGTATCATTATTGGTATTATAATATGTTAATATTATGTGGCTTCCAGTCAATTTCTGTCTCCTCCACCTTTAGTCGATGTAAGACCATTATTTTAGATAACCCCTCACTCAGAAAAATCAACCCCAAAAAACAAAAAGCGTTACGGAATTATTTTTATTTACATTAAATTACAAAGAGACCAAATTTTTATTTTTTGCCCGATTAGTTGTATAGTTTTTTTTCTACTATTACAGAAGATGAACAATTATATCTCTTTGTGTATGTGGATATTATTATCTACTAGTATTAATCAAAATCGTAACACAATACATCTGGAGGAGACTGGGACGAGAAAATTGGTTGACGTGTTAACACTCACCTATGACTTGGATCCACGTAAGCCTAAACTGTGGGAAGTTCTAAATTGTGTACTGATTGGTTGATACGTAAGCCAAGTGGATAAAGTGTCCCGACCACAAAGACCGACCTGATTTTCATTTTTTTTTATTCGTTAATAATTGCATTACGAAATAAGTGGCCACATTATGAAAATATTATCTAATACTGTATGTACGTATATATATATATATGAATGATGATTATTTAAGGCAATTTGCTATAGTTAATTGGCTAAATTAGGTCATATAGCAGGACACAAAATAGATCTAGTTGGTGCATCTCTTCTCTTTTGTATTTTTGTTTTGTGAACAATAAACTTGCATCTCTTCTCTCTAATTACTTTTTCTTTTAACTAATGTTCTCATACGAAAACATTCAGTTCAAGAGTACATTATGTCATCACACAACATTTTGTTCTTATAATTTAATAGTCGTAATTCTCCATTTTAAAAATCTCTATACTTATAATACATTATATATTATTTTCATGATATGTAAGAGAGTTCCTCTATATTATAATACATATAAAAAGTTAGGTCGTCTTGTTTTACGTGATATCTAAGTTATATATTTTTCACGTTGTGTACAATGTTATTTCCGTTTTACATATATGTATGTATAAAGCCTTAAAAGTGGAAAAGGGATGGGGTGATAAAAAAATATTTCCACTGTTGAATCGTCTTTGCTTATCCATGTTATAAGTACATAATGCAATAACAAAAAGTTTGCATTGCATGTGATACCTCATAATTTTATTTTATTTTCTTTAATTAACGACGCACGAAAAATTAGAACGTTCCTCATATATATATTTTATTAGGTTAAATTAGTTTGATACATACTATTACTTTTTTTTTTTTGGTAAATTGATACATACTATTACTTATTTACTTAGCTAATCACAATAATTCATTTTGGAAATCGAAACTCATTTCTGTGGACAGCAGTTCTAATCCACTAACTGTATTTATCAATTCAAGTTATATTCATTCGAATTCCACAGAGTTATAAGATGCTCTTAGTCACTGCAGCCAAACACACCATATATCCATAACCTTCTTTTATTAAAATATAAATAGAGACAACAACTACAAAAATAAATGGATAAGTGGGCTCGAGTCGACAAACAATGTATGAATAGGATTCACCAAATAAATAAGAATACTGTTGTTAATTATATTCAGTTGAAACTGTGTTAACTTTGCTACTATTAGTTAAGTTATTATAAGTTTATAAATAACCATATAAAAATCTAAATCCACATCCCTCGGAAAAAAAAAAAAAAGTTTAGCTTGGCCAGGTGTTTGTTTTGGTAAAGACTAGGATAACGCGTGTAAATGCGCTTTTAACCAAAACTATTAGGCCAAGTGGCCAACTTACAATCACTTTATCTGAACCTGACCCGACCCGATCGACTTAAACCGGATCACGAAGGTATACATACATATCTATCTTCAGATGTAGTAGATACGTATAGTACACTGCAGGGTTAGGCTCAGGAGAATTGACCTTTTCAGTAGAGTGAAAACAAAAAAAAATGGTCTATTTAAAGTTGCTTTCGTATTTTGTGTTCTCCGTATGTTCAAAACCGTAGAAGAAGAAGAAGAAGAAGAAGAAAATAACCAAAACAAATATAAAGCTTCCTTTTTTTTTTTTTTGTATTTGAGTTTTCTTAGATCAATTGGTTAAACCCTGTCATATCAATTAGTTCTCGATTCTCCGCGGCCATGCAACTTTAGAGGTTTTTCTTTCTTTTTTTCGTTTATTTGGGAGTGATTATGGGCGCGAATATATCAGGTGGGTTGCCGGGGTTTGACCGGAACGGTGACGTTTACTCGAGGAAACCCAGATTGGTGGATTTACCGGAGAATTGTGTTGCGTTGATTATGACGCGGCTTGATCCGCCGGAGATTTGCAGGCTTGCTCGTCTCAGCAGGCTGTTCCGTCGCGCTTCGTCAGCTGATTTCATATGGGAGTCAAAGTTGCCTCCGAATTATCGGGTTATTGCACAGAAGGTGTTTGATGAAATTACTCTGAGGAAATTAATAAAGAAAGATATTTATGCCAAGCTTAGCCGGCCTAATCTCTTCGACGGTGGCACAAAGGTTGGAACTTTTGTTCCCGTTGCATCTCTCAATCTCCCTCTCTCTTACTTTCAAAGTCTGTAAATTTCAACATTTTCTTACTTTCAAAGTTTTAATGTTTTGAGCAGGAACTGTGGATAGATAAGAACACTGGTCGTCTTTGTTTATCCATTTCTTCAAAGGCACTAAGGATTACTGGAATTGATGATCGCAGATACTGGAGTCACATCCCAACAGATGAATCCAGGTAATTTCAAACTTTACAATCAAAGGTGCACTTTGTTTGAAATTTCATCTGTTTGACCATCTTCTTCTCTTGCTTTTTACCCTTGTATTGTTTTGACCAACTTGTTAGTTTCTAGACTGTATAAATTATTATTTTTATATCGGTTGGGTAAAACAAAAGAAAGCGTTATATTGCAGTGAGCTTGTACACCAAATCTCGAATTACTTGTTAGTAATCTCTTCTAATATGTGTATGCAGGTTCCATTCAGTTGCATATGTTCAACAGATATGGTGGTTTGAAGTAGGAGGAGAGTTTGAGATCCAGTTTCCATCTGGAACATATAGTCTCTTCTTCCGTATTCAGCTCGGTAAAACATCAAAGAGGCTTGGAAGGAGAATCTGCAACTCAGAACACATTCATGGATGGGACTTAAAACCTGTGAGGTTCCAGCTCGCGACTTCAGACAACCAACAAGCTGTTTCACAGTGCTATCTGAACAACAACCCTGGGAACTGGAGTCACTATCACGTCGGAGAATTTAAAGTGACGAACCCAAATATATCTACAGGAATCAAGTTCTCAATGACTCAAATCGATTGCACTCACACGAAAGGTGGGCTATGCATAGACTCTGTTCTTATACTACCTAAAGAATGTGTAAAAGAATTCATTGGATCAGAATAGTTTTGTAGATATAGATTGAGATTGTTGTAAAGGGTGAAAGAATCTTTTTCAGTGAAACACATTCACTATACTGGTTTTTTCTTAATCTGGGAGTGCATTCTCAATACCAGATCTGGAACTTGTGTACACATGGTTGGGCTGTCTCTAGTTTTGTCTGTAGTTACAAGGTGATCGTGAATCGTGATTGTCAGTACATTTTTTCTCCATTTAGATAATAGAGATTATAACACTTCTTATTTTTTGCAGAAGTTGCTTACTTTTAAACATAAACATTGAACAATGCATCTATTTCTACTATGCAGAAAACAGAGTCCTGTTCAACAACAGAAATAAACTCAAATTTCTAATCAAGAAGCTTGAAAGAAGTATCATATGCAATCTTATTTTAAGAGTTATCATTATACTTGCAAAGGAGAATACGAAAAGCAAATTCATTCAATCAAAGGAGCAACAGCCTGAGATTACAGAACACGGCAGGTTTACAAATAATATGAAACAATTATTCTGAAGGCCTAGACAACAAGCTTCTTCTTGCTTCAAGGTGTCTTGAACTTGGGGCGCGATGGAAGCAACTGTGTGAACCAAGGAAAAAAAGGAGATTTTATATATATATATCGGACTAGAAAGATGTGATCTTGGAAGTGGGTTTGTGGAAAGGAAAAGAAAGCTTACCTGATAACAAGAGATAAGCGAGGAGGTAAACCCGAAAGCGCCAGTGACACGAGGAGTAACAGTCTTTGGAACTAATTGAAGCAGACCAATAGCTACAACAATGTCCATGCTTGATTTGACCAATGCTAGAGTTCTGTCATTTGTTTTCTGAAGCTTAGCACGATACAGCTCATCCTGCGTTTTTACAAAGGGAATGAGTTTTTCATAAATAGGAAAGAAGAAAGATGAGAGAGTTTAAATAGGAGAGTTTCTACATGATGCTTTTCATCATCTTTTAGTTCCTTTTCCATCTTCTTCATAGATGAAGAGAGCCTTCCAAGCTCACCGATCTGATACGCATGAGAAGATCAAAATCAAATTTATGTTCATACTCAGGAAAAGTCAAAGTGTCAAGAAAGAGGAGATTAAAAAAACCTCGACTGCAGTTGTACAAACTGATGATCCCAGCCAGCAGAAAAGTGATATACGTCCAAGCAATTCTACTCGTTCTTTGTTCTGCGATTCCATTTAACAATAATCTTAAGTCACACTCAGAGAAGATGAGACATTTAAAAAATTCAAGAGACCAATATGAACTGTTGCCTTACACTTGTCTAACCTTATATATGCCTGATCTACCAAGCCAGACGATTTGATCAAGAAACAAGAAGGTTGACACCAGTGCATTCTTGGACTGAAACGGACAGCCAACAAACAAAGATAAAAGTTAAAGACTGAATCAAATCAAGATATGAACAAATGTTGTAAGAAATCCAACATCTCTTTAGCACCTTCCCAAGTAAGACAAGAGGAAGCGGAGTCCCTTTAGGCACAGGACTGATAAGACCGTGAAAATCATTGACAAACTGCACATTTTGAAACCACTTTCTAATCAGAAATCAAAACAGTTTCAATCCAAGATAAGAAGGCAGCAACAATGAAGCTAATCCCAAATAATAAAAAAAAACAGAGATAGAAATCGAAACAATCGGGGCCTGACCTTGAAAAGACGGAAAACTTTTCTAGCCAAGCTGGTGTTCTTGTCAACAGTTTGAGCAGTACCAGGTTGCCCACCACTCAAGAATTTGGAACCATACTGTATAGCTCTGCATATCTTATCTCTAGCCTCAGCTTTGTTCAAATAAAGGACTATAAGAGCAAGCTCAGCTCTAGACAAATCTAATGTAGTCATGCTTTCTCTGTAGTAAGGAAAACCAACAACACAGAAGCCAAGATTCAGTACACTTTCACACGAGCTCAAACTAAACTATGAAACAGAGTCCATAAGAGAGAGTAGTATACGATCCTAGTACAGCAAAGCTTCACCCTTTTAATCAAAATATTGCAAGCCACATTTAATTAAGGATGTTAGCTTAATCAAAATTCAAGACAGAATATAAACATCATCAGCAACCACTAAGACTAGTAAAAGACAACAATGCAATTTTCAAGTTAACGAAATGAAAAGAAGGTAAAACATTCGGATGGATATTCAAAAATAAGACAGAGATAGGGATTTCATAACTTTACCTATATGATCTCTGTTACGACGACCACGAGGAGATTGATTATACAACTGAGCCACAAACCCAGAAAGATATTAAAACTTTTAAGAAAGGGGATCCGAGATTTAGTGCTTTAGTTTTTGGAACAATGATGCAAAGCTGTTCTTACTTATAATCTCATTTTCTTCCTCGTTTTGCGTCCTCGGAGATAGAAACTATGATAAAAAACGTGTTTGGTCATCTCTCTTTTTATTTCTTTCTTATTATAAAACTTATGAGTAAACAAAACGCACCGTTTTGGTCAACGATCTAATATCGTCATTGTTTAACTTCTAACCGTCGATTGTATTGAACGTAACGTGTACACCACAAGCCTCATGCACTTGATTATATCTCAATATCAATCCACACGCGCGTGCGACACACACGTGGCACACCTATCGAGGAAGGATAAAACGCAACATTTTGTAAAGTGAATAGGTTGGGCCTTTAGAAGCCTTATTATCATTTTTAAAGTCAATGGGTTAGGCCTTTAAAAGCCTTATTATCATTTTTTAAAAACACATGCTGGTTCTGAAGTTATACAAGACAAGGAGGAAGATAGTCTTTGTGTCCAAACAAATCCTGGAAGAAGCGTGGACGGGGAAATTGAATAACGGCCACATGAAGAAGAACAATACCAAAGCCAGAGGGGAAGAAGAAGTAGACAAATGGCGGTGGCGTCTCTTAGTATTTGCTGCTCTGCTCGACCAAATCTTCTTCTCTGCAGCTTCTCTCGACCCCGAAATTTTGCTAGTAAGTTATCTTTAGCTTGTGTGTGTTTATGTTGGTGTTGGATGAGCAATATTTTGAAATAATGGAGGCAAATATAAGAATTCTGGATTTCTCTGTTCTCTCTATATCAAAATCGTGAAAATTTGATTGATTCTGTTTAGTGGCTGCAATGAGTGAGGATCCAATTCGTGAATGGATTCTTAGTGAAGGAAAAGCTACACAAATCACAAAGATAAGTTCCGTTGGTGGTGGATGCATTAATCTTGCTACCCATTATCATACTGATGCTGGTTCTTTCTTCGTTAAAACTAACAGGTAGTATAAACAATGTTATGGTTTTAGTATCTTCTTTTCTTTGGCATGTCACTTCACCTTTTCTCATATTCACAATCAGACATCTTCAATGTTTTTTTTTGTTTTTGTTTTTAGGAGTATTGGACCTGCCATGTTTGAGGGAGAGGCTCTTGGTCTTGAGGCTATGTATGAAACCAGTACAATCCGTGTGCCGAAGCCACACAAAGCAAGTGAAAAGACTTTCTTTTTTTTGTTTGGAGTAGATAATCTTATCTTTTATTTGTTCTCTCTAACCATAGATTCTTGTTTAAAAGTGTTAACAGGTTGGGGCATTGCCAACAGGTGGATCTTATATCATCATGGAATTTATAGATTTTGGGGGATCAAGAGGCTACCAGGTGATACTGATGAATCTAAACTATGAGCCAATGTTAAGAACTTCAGTTTCATGGGTTCATGGTTGTTAGTCATCAGGCTGAATTAGGAAGGAAGCTCGCTGAGATGCATAAAGCCGGGATATCTTCTAAAGGCTTCGGGTTTGAGGTTGACAACACTATTGGCAGGTGGAGTGAATCTCATTTATCAAATCTTGGTCCCTTTGATTTTAGTTTCTTACATACTTAGCTATGCAATGTTCCCATTTTAGTACGCCGCAGATCAATACTTGGTCATCGAATTGGATTGAATTTTATGGTGAGAAGAGATTGGGTTACCAGCTTGAGTTAGCTAGGGATCAGTATGGTGACTCTGCAATTTATCAGAAAGGTTTCTTTCTCACTTCTCTGTCGTTATTAACTTTTGCGAGGAAATACTGATTTAGTAACATTTCAACAGGTCAGACACTGATACAGAACATGGCATCTCTCTTTGAGAATGTTGCCATAGAACCGTGCTTGTTACATGGTGATCTCTGGAGTGGGAATATCGCATACGACAAGAACAACGAACCTGTCATTCTTGATCCTGCCTGTTACTGTATAGGCTTTTCATTCTTAAATTCTTGACATATTTACCATTTTCAAGCACCGTTTTTGATCTCACTCCTCCACAGATGGGCATAACGAGGCGGAATTTGGAATGTCGTGGTGCGCAGGATTTGGAGAATCTTTCTACAATGCCTATTTCAAGGTTCCGCACGCTCTTCCTTTTTCTCTCAGTTCTGTATCAAAGAAGTCCAGTTTGAAGGTTTTTTGTTTGTTTAACTTAAACAGCTCTTGTTTTGCTTCTTTGACACCCTCAAGGTAATGCCAAAACAACCGGGATTTGAGAAGAGGAGGGATCTATATTTGCTCTATCATTACTTGAATCATTATAACCTGTTTGGCTCGGGCTATCGATCATCTGCGATGTCCATCATTGATGATTATCTACGGATGCTCAAAGCGTAAAAGGGACAAGATGATGAGGGAAGCTGCTGTTAAGCTTTGGTATATGTTTGCTTGTGTTTTGGTGTTTTTTTTAATGTACAACTTATAGCTTGAATCTTGAAAATAATCAGGTTTGATGTATTATGAATTGTATGTGAGAGTTAAAAAGAAAAGAAGAAGAAGAAGCAGACTTAGGGTATGGAGCAGGTTGATACGAAGAAAGATCTCACTACTACATGGTCTAAATGATGATCTAGTTTTACATAGGTGATGCGGTAACGTAATGGGAGAGAAATCTCATTACGTGCTTTATATTACTTGAATCATTATAACCAATAAATCAATATCAGCCACCATCCTTTTACATTTCGCACTTGCATCTGCTGATACCATATTATTAAACTATCATTACTACGACATTATTATCAACGCAGTGAGAGATGTAGTAAGACTTTTTTTTCCTAAATGTTGGGGAGTGCTAAGCTCACCGGCGGGTAAGAACACGATTTTAGCGAGGAGAAACTCATCCTTGAGCTTATTATCCTTCTCACCAAAAGCTCTGACTGACACATGACTACGACAATAGCCCTGTCTCTCTAGAGCTGATGTGATATTCCAAGAAACGTCACGAGGCTCCTGACCATCAGAGATTTTAAAATCCTCCACGTCCCAGAAGACCTCTATCTTAGTAGTCTCTGGCAAAGGTTTTGAGCTGTGTGACTGTGGCGGTGGATGGAAGGAGGAGCTCTCTGTAGCTAGTTGAGGGCTTAAAGAGACGTGGTCCGGAAAGATTTCGCATGAATTACTTAGAAATTGAACTTCAATTACAAAAGGTTGATATGGCCGAGTTGGTCTAAGGCGCCAGATTAAGGTTCTGGTCCGAAAGGGCGTGGGTTCAAATCCCACTGTCAACAGCTATAATTTTGAACATTCTCTTACATTATTTTTCTAAACTTGTCCAGATGGAATTTTTTTTTGTTATAATCTTGAGATGCTATGATCGAATTTACCCGAACCAAACACGCAGGTGAACTATCTAACTTATGCAAGTTTTTTTATATATCTTGAGATAGTAGTACTATGATCTTATACCGTAAGCAGCAAACTTGAATAGAAAGAACTTTGCAAATTCAAACTCTTAGTGTTAACTTTGGTTCACATTATATATTTGTTACAAGCACGTCTTTTGGAGCCCATAGGTTTTCTAGAGTGCAATATTCAATCGTACACGTTTTCATTCTTCAAACAATTAACTTAAAATCCAAAACTCTTTATAAAATCCAGACATCAGTAGTAACTAGATAATTCCAAACACCAACAAGCATTCATAACAACAAAAAGAAAGCAAAAAAGAAACCAGCCTTGGTTTTCATTTCATGACTACTTCACTCAATCTCCCTTTCTCCTGAAAGAGCATCCTTCGGTGAGCCTCGCCTTTCCTCCTGTAGGCTGGCACAGAATTGTCTGGCAGTTTCCGCATACCACAACTGTCTGCGAGTGACTGAAGACAGTGGTGCTGCAAAACCAAAAACAGACCAAATAAATTTGTGTTTTTCATTATCTATGTAATGTCAAAGGGAAAAGACTAGAACAAGAAACTGTTTACGGAGCTTACATGTTGAAGCAGCCTTGGCACTTCACATCCTACATTAAGAAGTTACACAACAAAAGAAACATCAATCGGCGAGCATAAAGAGTAGAAAAACTTCAGACTGAAACTGAAATAGACAAAACAAGACAGAAAGCTGAAGCATCAAAAGAGTGGCTCGAAATACTTAAGCTTATATTGCCAAATGCTTAACAAGAACAACAACTATTACAATCAGAGTGCTGCAGCTAAAGCCTAAAACACCAAACTACAATTCTAAACAGAGAGATTTGGTTATTTGATATCAATAAGTTGTGGCACTAGAGAGATGGTTGAAAAACAAAGACAACAATCAGACTCCAAAAGCAGTATACTCAGAAACAAAAATCAGATTCACAAACTCCAAACTTCAAAATTCTAATCATACAGATCTGTATCAAAAGAATGAGAAATAATTACCATGAAAAAGGAGTTTGGAGACTGAACAAGACGCTTGAGCTTGTGCTTCCTCTTCTCAAGCTCAGCTGGTGGGTTAAGCAGATCGATATCGTTTTGAAGAACCTGTTCCACATCAAAAGATCCCCAGCAAATCAAATCAAAATGACAAAACCACACTTCTAATCAGCTAATTACGCATTCGTTAACACCGATTCAACCTTAACGTTATAGAAGAAGAGATCAAACGAGAATTTTACACAAGAACGGAGAAGAACATTAACTCTTGTGTGACTCCGAAAATTTGACAAAAAGGACTCATATAACTTCATAAAAAATATAAAATCAAGACATGTAATGGAGAGAACCAAGAGCGAGAGAGCTAACCATCTTCGTAAGACTCTCAAGAGACGACGGCGAAATAGCAGCAACGGCAACACAATAGGCGAGAGAGATTTCAGGGTTATTATTACTTTGCCCTTTATATATAAACACGACAACACTAAACCTTTTCCCAAACCTTCCGAGTAAATTAGAGTCTTACGTTCTCTTATTTTATTTTATTTCATTTATCAGAACACGTAAAGAGAGAGAGTATCATCATTTCTAAACGAAGAGATCATGGTTTTTGTTTTCGTATGCATAGATATTCCAAAGATTCATATACATCATATTCCTCGATTAGAGATGATGTGGTATTGTGGTCGCAAATATAACTCAGAAATAACATAAACAATGAAGCAGGGATTGATTCTAAAAGCTTTGTGGGAATGTTGTTCATCAGAAGTTGTTGGAAAAGAGCAGAATGCTTGTTGTAGTCAGGGGATCTGGTAATTCAATATTTCATCCACCGTGCAGAGTAGAAATGAAGACTACAACATATTTTTCTTCTAATGTTGTATCGAGCTGGCCGCTGAGCTCCCAGTCGCAGTCGTTAACCAACACGAGAACTCCAGGCCTCCTGCATCATTTATGGATCCCAAACACCATTATTGTTATATAACACTATATATAATAAATCAGGGTTCTCGCAAGGGAATGAAAGAAAGAAGCTTTACACAGTATTGCCTTTCATGAACATTTCAGGTCTTTCCTTGATCAGATTGGTACGGACCCATGAAAGCAAATCCTTCATTGTCAACTATATAATGTATGAAACAGTGTAAAAGAGAGACACCAGGTGAGCTTACCATATCTGATGACTACAAAACTCATTGGTATTTAAGAAAAATCATCAAAAGAGACAACAAGCTTACCATATCTGATGATGATTCATTGGGGGAAGTTGATGTTGATCTTATGAATCTTCACGGAGTCACAGAGCAATTCTAAACCTCCACTGCAGTATCAAGAAGCACATAATTCATGTTAATATATACCAATAGAGGAATCTCTCTCATTCGCTACCAATTGAATGCTAAAAGCCTTTTAGGAGTTTTCTCAATCCAAAAGTCATTACTTTAATATAGTAATCGAAAAGAAAAACAGAGATAGGCTAATGCTAATGGATGCATAAAAATTATAGAGAAACCAGAATTGAAATCAGTATACTTTTTTTATGAACTTCCTGACCAATGAAGAGGTTTCATTAAGAACCGATCGAATGAATAACAAACTAAAAGAGATACAAACGACTAAAAAAGCATACCCGAACTCGAGAGTTAATTGCATATTGAATGAGAGGTTTCGCAGGAATCGATAAACAAAACCTTCTCTTCTTCTTCCGATCCTCCCTCCGCTTCGTGTTCACGCTAGAAACGAGGACCAGCAGTACACTGTTTCATTTTGGGCTCTTCAAAGTTGGGCCCATGTTCCAATGCCCATTACTTTTTTTATAAGATAAAGTAAATTAATCAATGGCGACGATTTTTAAATTTGAAAAGCAAGACAAAGCCGAAAAGAACGAAGCCATGATCGGCGAGCGACCACTTATTTTTTATTTTCATCTCCACATCCCTGAAGTTGGGCAATTTTGAGCAGCGTTTTGCAAAACCATAGTCGTCACCATTTAGGATTTTTTGTGTCGTTTGTCACCATTTAGGAAATTAAGGCTCTCTGAAAATATTTTGCACTATTTCGAAGCTTAAGCGTCATATTTGTGTGTTCTAATCATTAATATTAGTTTTGCTAAAAAAGTTATACGTGTTTCGACTAACGATCGTTTGGCTCTCGGCCAGTTATGTTATTTTGACCGTCTTATGTTGTCCAGTTTTGTGCGTGCTGTTTTGTTATCTTTATGAGTTTTCGTCTAGCGACCAAGCTTTTAGAACTTAGATCATTTTTGTGTGTTTAGAATATCGTGTGATAGAATTTTTTCCGTCGAAGTTGATTTTTTGTGTGTGTTGTTCCGTCGCTCTTTATGCATGCGACACTGCGTACCATCGCTCACATTCACACTTAGACTACATCTATACTATATCACACCCTATATACATTACATCTAGACATACACCCTAATACCCTATACATACATCTATATTCTATATATACTATGCGCGTGGCATCAACACACCCTATACATACATACGTATCTATAATATGCATGTGACATTCATCATACATGTGACCCATCCTATACGTATGTGACACATACATCCTCACCATATATACTTCGTAATAAATATCATAATTGCATTAATTACATATACTTCAAAGGCTGGCCAAGCAGAGAAGATGGGAAGCTCTCGAACAAACAGCACAGTCACTTAGCGCAGAAGCTGGGAAGTTCTCGAACAACACAGCCCCTTTGCATACACCCTCTGCAAAATCAAAATCAATCTTCATTAAAATTACTTTTCTCGGCAAAATCAAAACGATGCACGATACTTATAAATCCAGCAAAAAAAAAAAAGAAAAAAAAACATTCTTTCTTTGTTTTCTCACAAAAGTTATAAACCCGTTCTATGTTGTTGTTTTTAGACAGAATATATATACTGACATAAAAAATAAAAATAAAAAAGACTTAACATAGAACGGGTATATATATACAACTAAGAACACCACACATATGATTATTTATCACATTATTGAAGTCAAGATAGCATGCTATATATACTTAATGACAAAAATATGTAACTACAAACCAGTTTATTAAAGACGTGTATATAAACAAACTAAACAATTTATAGACACACATCATTAAAGTCAAGAATATATGTATACTAATAGATTCTAAAATATAGCATTAGAAATTATAATTGAACTCCATTAAAAATGTTTGGAAGATGAAGAACAGGGGTAACTAGCTAGCAGGCAGAGAGAGAATAGCAAGAATCTATGGTAAACAAACTAAACTACTTTACCTGTAAGATGATGCCTTTATGTTTGTTTCTCTCTTGGATGTTGGATGTTGAGATATATAAGATAAAGTGAGTGAGAACAACAGAACAAAGAGAATAATAAGAAAAAAAACAGAGTGTATTTGATATTTGAAAGTAGAGAAACGGAGTAAGCGGATTCAGATTTGTGTCCGAAGAAGGAGTACTTATAGAGAGTCCAGTATCTTTATTTTTCCATTAAAAATAATAATTCAAACGGTCATAAAAATGTTACCATTTCACAACGTCCATATTTTCTTACTGTCAAGTCATATCATTACGTACGTTGGCACAATGTGGGAAATCGTAAACGCACTCAGCACTCTCGAGTAATTCATTTTTTTTTTTGTATTATTTAAGTATTATGAAAAATGTTACCGTTTGGTTTCAAAAAAAAAATAAAAAAAATGTTACCATTTCATAACGTTCATATTTTTCTACCTCAAGTCCCAAAAAAAAAAAAAAAACGTTTTTGTATATGAACGTTAGATATAATTCAAGTGATACGTAATTATGGCATATATAATAACCTCCAATCCAACAGAACTCTAACAAACAATTGAAAAGAATAAAAAGAGTACGATGGCCTAAACGATACCGTGAACCCATTGGACAGAGTTGGTCTCACGATCATTTGTTGCATTACTCTTTAGCACCGAAGATCTTCCACCGTGCTCATAGTGTTGTTGGATACCTACATATATCATATATGTATTTTTCATAATCAAGTTAAAATCATAGAACCATGACTAGTTTAATTATATTTCACGTTAGAGAAGCAAAAATGATTAATGATTACTTATTTCGTACCCAGTCTGCAAGAAATAATATCCAACATCGCAATCCGATAGATAATTTGGATGAGATGATTGCAATGAAAAACCAGTGGAGCCAAGCCGAGTTTGACAATAGGTCTTGAAAGCCATTGAAACGATAAATCTTTTATCACATCACATCATAAATTATAAACGAGTTTGATAATTAACCCGAGTTCTTGTTTATCACATCATAAATCTTTTCAGTTATTACAAAGTTCTTATTGAATTACCATGCAAGAAGAATTATATTCGGTGGTCCAACTCTTTTTTGTTTATAATTAATTAAAGTTTTAACAAAACGAATACTTTCTCCTACTCATTACTCATTCGTCATGACTCGTGATGAGAGATACCTTGAGATAGAAATATGCAAATGTACAGTTGAACCACTGGAAAAAACATCATTATTTCTTTTAATATTAGCATAAATGTCATATTGTTCAAACTGACACTTAAAAACTAATAATATGATTTCTTTATTTTTAATACGCAACAGTTAATTAGTCTAAATGCGGTTTTTATTAAACTAAAGTTTACTAAATTTCTGGTTAGGTAATGGTAATTACTAAATACGTGTGTCTTAATTAAAACATCCTGGGTTTATCATTTTTCTGGTTGGGTAATGGGTAATTAACTAGGGGACTATATATTGCGTGTGAACTGTGAAGTGCAGTTTAATTTTTTTCTAGTTCGGGAAAGTTTTAATTGGTGGTCAAGAAAACGCAGGAACGTTCATCATTTGTTGTTGGAAAAATCTTAGTACCATTTTTTTACAAAAAGAAAAGTATTACGAAAACATCCTTCAAGAAAAACCCGAATAATTGATCCAATTTGGTTTGAACTCTGTGATATATATTATCACATGGTTCTGGCAATTGAAGGAAACATCTCCAAGAGGTTATATATTTTTGATCATTATTAAAATTATGAAAATATAGCTCAACACACCATCATTAGCTAGTTCCACTGTATTTTTAATCATTTTAGTTCTTTAAATTATATGCTGTAAATAGTTTATAAAATTATAATACCATACCTATACTGGTAGATGAAAATTAAATCAAATTTGAAATTCTTATAATTATTTTTTCTATAAAAGAAAGAAATTCACGTCACACATCTATAGGCCTTAAAAGAAATGTGAAGCCCATTTAATTATTAGTGGTGGGTTTGAAGTCGAAACTTGGAAGCAAGCAATATAAAATTGGAATCAATTTGATGTTAGTCTGGTATAATTCGGGTTAACATGAATCGGAGTAAACCGGATAGAAGATTCGTAAATTGTAATCGATAAAAGAGAGAGAGATAGAGAGAGAGATCTGTGTTTTGTATAGTACGCGTGAGGTTCTCTTCTCTGCTGCAAACAAATCCTGGTAGGCGTTGATAGCGATTGGTTAATTGTCGGTGAATCAACGTTTTCTGTTACATATACCAATCAATCATCTTCTTCTTACTCTCCTCTCTTCTTCCTCGCTTACCTCCATTGGCTTCAATTCCGAGTTTTTCTTATTCGTCGCTGTTGTCTGCTTTTAGAGTTGTCAGATCTCGCCGGGAACAATTTAGTAATGGCGTTTTAGTCTATTACCTCTGAGGCCTTCACGTGAACGCTGGATTTTTTCTCCTTCTTCTCCAATCTCACTTGATCTCTTTATTGGATTCCGAGTATGTTTTGTTTGCCTCTCTTCTTCTATCTCCTCCATCGTTCCGGGTTGCTTCCACGGTTCGTTGCTTGATTTAGGGTTTTTTTTTTTTTTTGAATTTGGTAGGGATGGCGCTGAAGCGAGGGTTATCTGGAGTTAACCGGATTAGAGGAAGTAGTGGTGGATCTCGATCTGCCCTTGTGCTCCTCATCTTTTTCTGTGTTTTCTCACCTCTTGTCTTCTTTGTTGGCCGAGGAGTATACATCGATTCCTCTAATGGTATGCATATTGCTTTTACTTGTTGATACGTTTTCTGATTCGTGTAGTGCTATAAGGGATTAAGGGATTAATGGTATGCATATTGCTTTTACTTGTTGATACGTTTTCTGATTCGTGTAGTGCTATAAGGGATTAAGGGATTAGGAGCATTAGAATAAGTTTACCACTCTTTTGTACAGCCTTTAATATCTCTATTTAAGTTACACTAGCGTTAAACTAATTGCTTTGATTGACACTGATGTTATTCGGAAACTTGCTATTTTTCTAGACTGATAAAGTTGGCCTTTTCAATTTTGTGATATATGTCATTTATCTGCGATCTCTCCATCTGATGGAGCTTACTTTTCATTACTGCAGATTATTCAAGTGCTTCTGTGAAGCAGGTGGGCTGATACTCTTTAATTTTCTGCTTGTATGTTTGTTTTTACATGATTGAAGATGTTCTTTAATTGGACTTTTTTTTTTCTTTTTCTTTTTCTTTTTGCAGAACCTTGACTGGAGAGAACGTTTAGCAATGCAATCTGTTAGATCTCTCTTCTCGAAAGAGGCAAGTATAAATTTAATCTCTTCGTTGGGTTTTCTATGATGGGATCGTTTCTTACTAAATTTGTTGTCCAGGTACTAGATGTTATCTCAACTAGCACAGCTGATTTGGGCCCTCTTAGCCTTGATTCTTTCAAGAAAAAAAATTTGCCTGCATCATGGCGAGGAGCCGGAGTAGACACTTCCCTTGGTTATTCTGAGGTGCGGTTTTAATGACCTGATTTGACTTGTTTTGTTTTCTGTTCCAAGTTTCTATCCTCAGTTCTTTTGGCTCATAGTTATAACTTTTGATCTACTTGAAGCAGAATCAAACAACTCCAGATGTCAAATCTAATATCCTGAATGAAAAACGTGACAGCACTTCGAAAGGTAGTGGCTTTTATTTAAGTGGCATTCTGATCTATTTGAATTGACGTTTTCTGTCTCTGATTCTTCTATATATCGCTGATGCAGATGGTGGCCATCAGAAAGTTGAGACACCTGCAAAGCTTCACAGAAGGGTAATTTTCTTGATGCATCTAATATTTTTTGGAGACTTCTGTGTCTTGAGTTTTTTCATTACCAACATTCTTTTTTTCCATCTTGGCATTTCAGCAACTAAGAGAGAAAAGGCGTGAGATGCGAGCAAATGAGTTAGTTCAGCACAATGATGACACAATTTTGAAACTCGAAAATGCAGCCATTGAGCGCTCTAAGTCAGTTGATTCTGCCGTCCTTGGAAAATACAGTATTTGGAGAAGAGAAAATGAGAACGACAACTCTGATTCAAATATACGTTTGATGCGGGATCAAGTAATAATGGCTAGAGTCTATAGTGGTATTGCAAAATTGAAAAACAAGAATGATTTGTTACAAGAACTCCAAGCCCGACTTAAGGACAGCCAACGGGTTTTGGGGGAATCTACATCTGATGCTGATCTTCCTCGGAGGTAAATTGCTCCTTTTGTTTCTGTTAGTCTCCCAGAAATGCTTTCTATTACTTGCCTTCCTTTTTCTGCCAGCTCTACTTGCCTTCTTTTATTTCCTGGTATACTTCTTAATGTAACATCCTCTATAAATTACTTTTCATATAGTGCACATGAAAAACTGCGAGCCATGGGTCAAGTCTTGGCTAAAGCTAAGATGCAGTTATATGACTGCAAGTTGGTTACTGGAAAGCTGAGAGCAATGCTTCAGACTGCTGACGAACAAGTCAGGAGCTTAAAGAAGCAGAGTACTTTTCTGGCTCAGTTGGCAGCGAAAACAATTCCAAATCCTATCCATTGCCTATCGATGCGCTTGACTATCGATTACTATCTTCTGTCTCCGGAGAAAAGAAAATTCCCTCGGAGTGAAAACCTAGAAAACCCTAATCTTTATCATTATGCACTCTTTTCTGACAATGTATTAGCTGCATCAGTGGTTGTTAACTCCACCATCATGAATGCCAAGGTAAACCATTAGCTCTTATGACTTAATTTTTCCTAAATGTTTATTTTTTTGTATATGAACTGCAGAGCTGAAATTTGAAATGTTTTTATTCCCTGCTTGCGCAGGATCCTTCTAAGCATGTCTTTCACCTTGTCACGGATAAACTTAATTTCGGAGCAATGAACATGTGGTTCCTCCTAAACCCACCTGGAAAGGCAACCATACATGTGGAAAATGTTGATGAGTTTAAGTGGCTTAATTCATCTTACTGCCCTGTCCTTCGTCAGCTTGAATCTGCAGCAATGAGAGAATACTATTTTAAAGCAGACCATCCAACTTCAGGCTCTTCAAATCTCAAATACAGAAATCCAAAGTATCTATCCATGTTGAATCACTTGAGATTCTACCTCCCCGAGGTTTATCCCAAGCTGAACAAAATCCTCTTCCTGGATGACGACATCATTGTTCAGAAAGATTTGACTCCACTCTGGGAAGTTAACCTGAACGGCAAAGTCAATGGTGCAGTCGAAACCTGTGGGGAAAGTTTCCACAGATTCGACAAGTATCTCAACTTTTCGAATCCCCACATTGCGAGGAACTTCAATCCAAATGCTTGTGGATGGGCTTATGGAATGAATATGTTCGACCTTAAGGAATGGAAGAAGCGAGATATCACTGGTATCTACCATAAGTGGCAAAACATGGTAATTATCTCTTTAACTCTGTGCAACTAGTATCTCATGATGGTGTATTATTTATTGTGGTCTGCTCATTATGGTTTATTGTTGTTTAGAATGAGAATAGGACATTGTGGAAGCTAGGGACATTACCACCAGGATTAATAACATTCTACGGATTAACTCATCCATTAAACAAGGGATGGCACGTGCTGGGACTTGGATATAACCCGAGTATCGACAAGAAAGACATTGAGAATGCAGCAGTGGTTCACTATAACGGGAACATGAAACCATGGCTGGAGTTAGCAATGTCCAAGTACCGACCGTATTGGACAAAATACATAAAGTTTGATCACCCTTACCTTCGTCGATGCAACCTTCATGAATAAGAAAATCAAATCTTTGTTAGATGATTTGAGGTAATTACTTCTCTAATGTTCTGTTGTTGCCATCTCATTCCTCTTTGATCCACACATTGTTAATTGTTTATTCATATCTTTGTTTAGTCATTCTTTTCTTCTTCTTCTTCTTCCTCCTTCGGGTTATAAACAAACACTTGTGTTATTTTTGAGTTTCCCTTTTTCTAATGATAATATGTTTAATGGAAGATTCGGTTGAACGTCCCCTGTGACAAAAAGAAACCATTTTGTCTCTCTATATACTGTATATATATTTGCAAGTTTTAAAAAAAAATGTTGAATTGATAGGAAAATGTTAACATCTACAAGTCTACAACTAACAAAGAACAACAAATGTTTGTTATTTTAAACTTTTTAACATGTGTCAATAGTTAAGAATAATAATGATAGGATTGGCTACACATTTAAGATTTTCTGATTTTTTAGTATCCAATTTTCTTATCTCTTCTTTTATAGATTTTTAATTGTTATCATTACTCACCAAAAAGAAAACATTGTTATCATTTTTTAATATGTGTTTTTCTTGTAGGCAATGTATCAAGATTCAAGTACATTATTTTACATATTTAGTTGTCAACAGAGTATTTTCTAATTTTAATTATTTGTATTTTTGTGGTTCTATTGTTTTTATAAGCAACTATTTAATGGAAAAGAGGACATATTAAAAAATTTAATCATAAATTAGAGAGCATTAGACTATTAGTGGAGAAAATTAAACAATATTAATTACAAAAATCCTTATTATGATAGACACTAGAAAAGATAATAATAAAACCCAAATTGAGTGAAAAAAATCGAAGATGGGCTTAAATCGGACCGACGCTTATTAATACAAATCCCCCCTCCGTAAAGTCCCAAGACGAAACGAAGATCAACAGAAACACAATCTTAGCAGAGAACAAAAATCCCAAAGCTAAAAACCCTAACCCGACGAATCAATGGAGCGAGACGACGAAGCGAGTGGACCTATGATGGAGATGTGCACCAACGGCAGCGAAGAGACGTCTAATCGACGACCTATCATAAGTGGCGAACCGCTCGACATCGAGGCTTACTCGGCGCTCTACAAAGGTCGCACGAAGATCATGCGGCTTCTCTTCATCGCTAACCACTGCGGAGGAAACCTCACGATTCAGCTCGAAGCATTGAGGATGGCTTACGATGAGATCAAAAAGGGTGAGAATACGCAGTTGTTCAGAGAAGTTGTCAGTAAGATTAATGGCAAGCTTGGGGACACATATGGGATGGATTCGGCTTGGTGTGAATCCGTCGATCGTCGTGCTGAGCAGAAGAAGGCAAAGCTCGAGAATGAGCTCAGTTCGTATCGGGTAATTAGGTTTTTCTTTTCTAAAACGATATTTCTGACCTAATTCTTTTATCTGAATTCCTTGCTTATTCCGTGTATAATGATGACTCCCTCTACTGCTTGATTTCGATGATGCTGTTTGTTAATTAGTTTCTTGGAGGATGAAGTATGTGGTGTTGTTTTGGTTGCTACTGGCTTGCTTGATTTCGTAGTTGCATAAGTATTGATTTATCTTCCTAGTATGAGTATACAGACAAACCTTTTCATGGTTATCTGTATAAGGGTGACTCTCTTTCTGCTGATTTTGATGATTCTGTTTCTCAATTAATTGCCTGAAGAAATAAAGTATCTGGTGTTGTTTATGTGTGGTTCAGCCTGTGCATATCTCTTTTCTGGTCAGTCACTTGCTTGATTCAGTAACTGCATAGTTGTTGATTCATCTTCTTTATATGAACATCAGCATACATACAAATTTGACCCAGGAAAGCATAAAAATTAGCCCATTGTTATCTGTATGATAGCAGCTCTAATAAATGATTTTGTGGTACTATTTATCATTTGATTGCTTAGAGATTGAACTATGTGGTGCTCGATTATTTAATTGCTTGAATGTTGATTCGTTTTCTTGATATGTGTATACAGACAAATCTAATCAAGGAAAGCATAAGAATGGGTTATAATGACTTCGGAGATTTTTACTATGCTTGTGGTTTGCTCGGGGATGCTTTCAAGAACTATATCCGAACACGGGACTACTGCACTACGGGGAAGCACATCATTCACATGTGTATGAATGCGATTCTTGTCAGCATCGAGATGGGTCAGTTTACTCATGTTACAAGCTATGTGAACAAGGCAGAGCAGAATCCAGAAACCAGTGACCCTATTGTAGTTGCAAAACTGCGATGTGCATCTGGATTGGCTCATTTGGAGCTTAAGAAGTACAAGCTAGCTGCTCGTAAGGTCTGTTGTTTTGTCATATTTTCTCATGTATTTATGGATCCTATTCATATCCTGTCAGGCATTATATCTGAAATATAATCTTTCAACTTGAATATTGTCTTCTGCAGTTCTTAGATGTTAATCCAGAACTTGGAAATTCCTATAACGAGGTCATTGCTCCTCAAGATGTAGCCACCTATGGTGGACTCTGTGCCCTGGCAAGCTTCGATCGATCAGAATTAAAGGCATGTATCTATTCAGCTTTTATTTTACTCTGCCAGATTGTTTTCAATATTTGTTTTATAACGTAGTCTAATGTGGCAGCAAAAAGTCATTGACAATATCAACTTCCGGAATTTCTTGGAGCTAGTGCCTGAAGTGAGGGAACTTATCAACGATTTTTATTCAAGGTAACAAGACTCGCATCTTTTTTTTTTGCGTAGACCAAATTACAAACCTAGAATCAAGGATTATCAGAGTGAATATCACTGATTAGCTGTTTGTGACATTGGATTCTGATCTGTATTGCTTATGAAAGGTTACCATGTTTCGTCCAAAATCAACCGTTTTAAACTGCATTCTCGTTGAATCTAATATTTAAATTTGCTCGTTGCAGCCGCTATGCTTCCTGTCTGGAGTATCTAGCTAGTCTCAAAGCGAACTTGCTGCTGGACATCCATCTCCATGATCACGTCGACACACTGTATGATCAGATAAGGAAGAAGGCACTGATCCAGTACACACTGCCATTTGTGTCTGTTGATTTGAGCAGGATGGCGGATGCATTCAAGACGAGTGTCTCTGGTCTAGAGAAGGAATTAGAAGCCTTGATCACAGACAACCAGATTCAGGTCCGTTCTGTTTTCAGACAGAACTTGATTTTGTATCACTGTACTTTCAGAACCATATAATAGGGAAAACGTTTTTTTCCATCCCTTACAGGCACGGATTGACTCACACAACAAAATCCTCTACGCAAGACATGCGGATCAGAGGAATGCAACTTTCCAGAAGGTACTTCAGATGGGAGACGAATTCGATAGAGATGTCAGGTCTATGCTGTTAAGAGCCAACCTCCTGAAACATGAGTATCATGCCAGAACTTCAAGAAAACTTTGAAACTGATGACATCTGCTTTGCTAATCTGAGAGGTAAACGGCCTATTCCAAGATCATACGTTGCCTGTGGAAAAGAAAAATGATTTTGTTTAGTTAATGGTTAGAATTGTCTAATCTTCTTCTCTGTTCTCTAGTTCTCGCATTGTTTTGTCAAATTTTAGTTTAAGATTCTTTGAAGTATCTTTGGACTTTGGATGAGAATCCTGAGTGTGAATCTATAAACGCATGAATCACACTGAAAGTGAATTGGTCAAAGAGTACAGACATAAGTACACACACTTTGGTTTCATGGGACAGTAGAATTTATGAGCGATGCTCGTCTTTGTATGCATGGCATGTGGGTGGGATCAGATCTCATCTCCCAACTAATATACATTTCATTTTGTCAACTTAGCTTTGCGTATTATATGATTGTATGTGCGCAGATGTCAGTCTATAATTCATGACTTGTTTTTCTTATCTACACAAAGTTCAACAATCTCGAAAATTCAAAAATGAAGATTTGATGTCGGCAAAACGCTTCATGTAGGCTGCTAAGTGTGAACACTTGATTTTTTTCTGGTGTCAAAGAACTTTTGATATTAATCACTCGATAGCTACGTTTCATATTTATATGTAATTATCGTATTGGTACTAATAATTATTATTTATTGTAAGTAGTTGTCTTTGTAGTGTAAGGTTTCTTATGTTTTATTTTACTAGTATATGGTTTGTGTGTGCCAGGCAAATTCAAGGGTGATAAATTGAGGATTGGGAAGGAACAAAACGAGAAATTGGGCAAGATAACTTTATGTAAGAAGCTATTTTGTGTTTTTCTCAAAGAGTGGATGACATTTTGAGGAAGTAAATGTATTATTATGCTAAAGATGAATGAGACTGTCCATTATTTAAACAAACTATTCAATGATATTGCCTTTTAAATGAGTCTTAGGTAGCATCGCAATAACTCCATGTTTACTCAAAACTCACAAACCATAGAGTTAAGATTCCGCCAGATTTGGAAGATGGGCCAATCTAAAATTTATTCACCCCAGTACTCCATTTATTTTGAGGTTGTTTTGTTTTTTGTTTTTGGTTTAAAAGTAATTCAAATACAAAGTTTATTGATATGTGTTGGCTGTAAATCATAAATCGAATCTCATCTCATTATGCCGTACTGATATCTTCAAAACTGAAATATTTTTATGGGGATTGAAACAGACTAATATGTGTTTGGTTTACTAAAAATAAAGTAGGTGTCTTTAAAAAAACAAATAGACTTGTACGATCTCGTACGGTTTACGATGCAACAACAATATTCATCGTGAAGGAACGTGTTTAAAACGAAGCATATATGAATTAACACAACAAATAAAACGCTAAACTAACTAAGAATCATCAAATCTGTCACACATCCCACAAAATAAAATAAGGGATTTTAACAGAGAAGACGGGGGTAAAACGGTAAACTTCAAATGATAGATCATAAACTCAGGCTTCTTGATTCACATTCTTCACCACTTGAAGTAGACTTTTTTAGTAACGTCAAAAGAGTCAAACCCAACTTTTTCAATGGTTGTGTAATGACTCCACATCTCTCCCCTCTTTTCCTTTTTTATTCTTTCACTCTCTTATTTTAAAATAATCAGAAAAAACATTTTTTATATATATCTTCCTTCTTTTTTTTTTTGTTCTCGTCGTTTCTGTCGTCTTTTTCCTTTTTCATTTATTGCTCTCTCTCTCTCTATCTTCTGTTCATGGACATGCACCGAAGCGACAAAAGCTTTCTAACAGTTAGGGCTTTTTCTCCATCCATATCCATGGCTGCTTTCTTCTTTTTCATTTAACTTTCCTCGTTCATCATCAACTCTTTTCATGAATTTCAACGGTTTTCTCGACGATCATTCCTCCGGCGTCGACGGAGCCGGAGCCTCCAAGCTACTCTCCGATGTTCCGTACAACAACCACTTCTCTTTCTCCGCCGTTGACACCATGCTCGGTACCACCGCCATTATTCCTTCTCAGCACAGCCTTACACCTCATTCCCGCCCTTTCTCTTCTTCTCCAGGCCTCTCCCTCGGACTCGTAATCTCACATATATCATCCTCTCCAAATCTTTGATTTCTTCTTCATGTTGATTATAGCTAATTTATAATCTCTAAATTTGGCAGCAAACAAATGGAGAAATGAGTAGAAACGGAGAGGTACTGGAGCCGAATGTATCTCGTAAGACTAGTAGAGGAGAAGATGTAGAGAGCAGATCTGAAAGCGACAACGCTGAAGCTCTCTCCGGCGACGATTTAGATACCTCCGATAGACCTTTCAAGAAGAAGAAACGTTACCATCGCCACACTCCTAAACAAATTCAAGACCTCGAATCGTAAGTCTTCATCTTCCTGATTGTTTTTATTTTATTTTTTGACATCTGATTTCAAATACTCCCTTTGTTTTTTTTTGTTTTAGGGTTTTTAAAGAGTGTGCACATCCAGACGAGAAGCAACGTCTTGATCTTAGCCGTCGACTTAACTTAGATCCTCGTCAAGTTAAGTTCTGGTTCCAGAATCGCCGTACTCAGATGAAGGTCTCACCTACGAATCTCATCTTCTTCTTCTTCTTTTTTTTGGGAATTTATTTATTTTATTTATAAAGATGAAATTTTTTTGATTTGTTTACAGACCCAGATTGAGCGCCATGAGAATGCTTTGCTGAGGCAAGAGAACGATAAGCTTCGAGCTGAGAATATGTCAGTACGCGAAGCTATGAGGAACCCTATGTGCGGTAACTGCGGCGGACCCGCCGTCATCGGCGACATCTCCATGGAAGAGCAACATCTCCGAATCGAAAACTCCCGTCTCAAAGATGAGCTAGACCGAGTCTGTGCCTTAACCGGTAAATTCCTTGGCCGGTCTAATGGTTCACATTATATACCCGACTCGGCACTGGTTCTCGGCGTTGGTCTTGGCTGTAATGGTGGTGGTGGTTTCACTCTCTCCTCTCCTAGATTTGAGATTTCTAATGGGACCGGTTCTGGTTTGGCTACGGTTAACCATCAACCACCGGTTAGTGTTAGCGATTTTGATCATAGATCGAGGTATTTGGATTTAGCTCTTGCGGCCATGGATGAGCTTGTGAAGATGGCTCAGACGCGTGAGCCTCTCTGGGTTAGGAGCTCCGATACTGGTTTTGATGTGCTTAACCAAGAAGAGTACGACACAAGTTTCAGTCGGTGTGTTGGACCAAAACCAGATGGGTTTGTCTCGGAAGCTTCTAAAGAAGCTGGAACTGTTATCATCAATAGCTTAGCCCTCGTTGAAACCTTGATGGACTCGGTTAGTAACTAAAACAGTTAATTTTAGTTATGATGAGCCCAACAAAATTAAAATAAAGCACTAATCTTTTTGGTCTTTATAGGAGCGATGGGCGGAAATGTTTCCAAGTATGATCTCAAGAACTTCCACCACAGAGATCATCTCTAGTGGCATGGGAGGGTCACGAAATGGTGCACTTCACCTGGTATATAATTATGCATTTTATCATTTTACACGCACCAGACTCTTAATTGACCAAATGGGTCTTGTAGCTAATGTTGTGGTTTTGGTTAATTTAGATGCAAGCAGAGCTTCAATTGCTGTCTCCACTTGTGCCGGTTAGACAAGTCTCGTTCTTGCGGTTCTGTAAACAGCACGCAGAAGGTGTTTGGGCGGTCGTGGACGTCTCAATTGATTCCATTAGAGAAGGATCTTCGTCGAGCTGTAGAAGGTTACCGTCTGGTTGCCTCGTACAAGACATGGCCAATGGCTACTCTAAGGTAAAACGATGCTTTCTAGGTGGTGATGATTATTAAAAAACTTCATATAGAAAATACTAAATTAGCATATGGTAAAGATTTCACATTTTCACCTTTAGGATTTACCCTAGTGTAGTGATGGTTCACAGTTCTCTAGGAACCACAGCCAAGGCTCTTTGTTTTGTCCGAGAAATTATAATAAAGGTTTATTATGCATTGGGTTTATAACTTTAAATGAACTCATACAGTATAGTACTATGCAGGTAAAGGAACACGTTATTTAATTGATCAGAAGCATCTAAAAATCTCCGACTACTGTGCCCTTGGATCGTGCATCAAACTCATCGCTTATAATTTTCATTTTTCTTTTCATTCTTTTTCACTCAACTTTTCACATTACATGTTCATATAGTTTAGAGGTCCCTTTTCTTTTTTTAACATTTATTATTTGTTAAAGCTCACACTAGACCAAAAACACGATTGTGATAAATGAAACTAACGCATGAATGGTTTAAGCAAACTTATAGGTAACATGGATAGAGCATGCGGAGTACGACGAAAAGCGCATCCACCGATTATACCGACCGTTACTCAGCTGCGGCCTAGCGTTTGGCGCACATCGGTGGATGGCTGCGTTACAACGTCAATGCGAATGCCTCACCATCCTCATGTCCTCCACTGTTTCCCCTTCACCTAGCCCAACCCGTAAGCTCCCTAAAACGATTTAATTCTAGGATAGTATTTTTGTTCCATGATATATATAATCAACTCGAGTCTTCTCTCTTTATCTTTGCTGTTGCTGTTGCTGTTGACGTGACTCTTATCTTATCCTACCAGAAAGAAGAAGATTATTTAATAAATAACACAGACTGTTGACTGAGTCAAAAAGGAGAACATGATAGTTGTCATCCTGTAATTATCAATCATTAATCAAATATCGTTTTGTATCTGCGTTTCGTTTTGGATTCTAACTTAATTTTATTCTGTAACATTAATGAGAACAGCCATAAACTGCAATGGGAGAAAAAGCATGCTAAAGCTAGCGAAGAGGATGACTGATAATTTCTGCGGCGGCGTATGTGCTTCGTCGTTACAGAAATGGAGCAAGCTTAACGTCGGCAACGTGGACGAGGACGTTAGGATAATGACTAGGAAGAGTGTAAACAATCCTGGAGAACCGCCTGGGATCGTTCTAAACGCTGCGACGTCCGTGTGGATGCCGGTTTCTCCGAGGCGGTTGTTTGACTTCCTAGGAAATGAACGGCTGAGATCTGAATGGGATATCTTATCCAACGGTGGACCAATGAAAGAGATGGCCCATATTGCTAAAGGCCATGACCATTCCAACTCCGTCTCCCTCCTCCGTGCCAGCGTAAGCATATATATATATATATATATTTATCTTATATACTTCAAATTTTTTTTTTTTTTTTTGTGTGCAAAATATACTTCAAATTTTGCATGCAAATTTAAAAGCTAATTTATCAAAATTCCGGTTTAGTTTCTTACTTTAAGACTTTTTTTGAATTATTTTTATGAAAGTTTTTACTAAATTTTTGGTTTGGTTTTAAATATATAATAATAAAAATGGACCGGCTAAAATGGACATTTAATGTTTCAGAAATCAACTACAGTGTGTGAAAGGAGTCTGTTGTGTTGTGTGATGAGTGACCCCAGGATGGTGTTGTCATATGAATCTTGTCGCGTGTGATTGGAAAGTGACAAATCTAGAATTTGGAAGTATTGCTGTGGAAAATTTTTTTTAAAAAGTCAAAATTAATAAGACATTTTTGACCTTTTTCTTTCCTTTTTGGCTCTGGCTCTACGAAAAATATATTAAAAAACCTCTATTTTTCTGTATAATTTGTTTAGCATTATTGGTGTCTTTTCTTCTTTTTTTTTTACCCTTGAGCTTTCTGGCTTGTGACTGAGACACTTATGAAAAGCCACTCAGCTTTTAATTTATTGTTTCCTTTTTGGGGCATTTTAATTTTGTTTATTTGCAGGCGGTAAATGCGAATCAGAGTAGTATGCTGATACTGCAAGAGACGAGCATAGACGCTGCAGGAGCGGTTGTGGTGTACGCGCCTGTAGATATCCCCGCCATGCAAGCTGTGATGAACGGTGGTGATTCTGCTTACGTGGCACTCCTCCCCTCAGGATTCGCCATTCTCCCAAACGCGGGCACGCAACGAGAGGAATCCAACGGAGGGTCGTGGATGGAGGAAGGAGGGTCGTTACTAACGGTGGCGTTTCAGATACTCGTGAATAGTTTGCCTACGGCGAAGCTTACGGTGGAATCTGTAGAGACTGTTAATAATCTGATATCGTGCACCGTTCAGAAGATCAAAGCTGCTCTTCATTGTGACAGCACCTGAATTGTTTTTGGTTTTTGGACGGTGGAGAGATTGAGTCAAGAACGAACCTCATTTTCTGATGAGTCCGTCTTTTCGTGTGATGGTTCGGGTATTGACTCGATGTGATTTGTTCAACCAATCAAAACATAAACAAAAAGTGTTGTAATTTGGATTGGTTTTATTTTAGATTACCATGTTTGATGAAATGTAATTGTTTCTTCTTTTTTTTTTTGGCTTCTCCCTTCTTGTAATGTCTAGATAACTTCATGAAAGCATTATATGAAATCGTTCGTAACACCATGTTTTTATTTTATTCTTCTTGATATTGAAAATGAGTGATATATGACTGACAAAAACGTTTAATCATGTTCTCGTTTTGGATATAAAATCAAGTCAAACCATATATATGCTCTCAAGTCCGTGTTAACCTTTTTTTTTTTGTGGTAGTTCAGAATGTGAAAGGAAGGCAAAGAGATAGAAGAAGAAGGTTGGGGACATGAATGATGTCTCTTTATTTAATGTTCCAAGTAAAAGTGTGTATGTACTTTTCTTAGTTCTTACATTCAATAAGATCGAAAAAAAAAAAGGAAGAAGAATGAAACACGTGACTGCATGAATTTTAGTTGCAAGCACTTGAGGTACATATCCCATCCCATGCTACTGCACACCTAATCGATTAATTATTGTTTGGGCAACGTTAGATCCGAAGGCCCATTAGAAGTAACTACTATAGAATGGGCTACGAAAAGAGCCTTTTAAAAAAAGCCTTTTAAAAAAGTCCATTACTTACTAAATTTTCTGGGCTCGATTTGGAAACTAAAAGTAACCTTTAAGCTTTTTAAGCTATAAAAAAGCCTATAAGATATAATTACAAACGGCCGAAAGGAAAAAAGAGTCAAAACTCCCGAATAATCCGCGCGCCTCGATGATGTATTTATTAGTATGAAGGCAAAAGAAAATATAAGCATCGATCGATCACCACCGCTAAATAAATATTTAGTTTGTGATCTTTTGTACAGAAATTAAGGGCCGTGTGTGTGACAATGAATGATTGGTCTTGGATTTGTGTGTGTGTTTTCTTCTGACCAATGGTGGTGCCATCTGTTTTGTTTTCTTTGTTTTTTTTTTGGTTAAAAGCTATATCCGCTCCGCCGCAGAGATATACTTAGATGTTTCTATAAATATGTTTTTGTATATATATAATACAGAGTTAGTTTCAAGTCGAAGATAACTCTTTTTTTGTTTTGTTTTTTTCTGTGTGAGTTCTTTGTTCGTTTTCTTTACAGAGGAGGGAAGAAGGAGAGAGGAGAAGAGTTGCATTTCCATTCTCTTTCTCTCTTTCTCTCTTTCTCTTGACATTTAATAGAAAACAACAAAATTCTCAAAAATCTTTTGTGTTTTTTTGTTCTTTGGTTTTAAAAAAAAATATTTACAAGAAGGATGAATGTGGTGCGTAGATTGACGAGTATTGCCTCTGGACGCAATTTCATGTCTTCTGATAATAACGTAAGATTTTGAAGTTTCTTTTGTTTCTTTGTAATTATTACTTTTCTTGATTTTTGCTTTGTGTTTTTTTGTAAACTTGCGTAGGTAGGAGAAACCGAGACGCCGAGATCGAAGCCTAACCAGAATCGTGAAGAAACAGAGTCTACGGAAACTACTACTACGACGTACGAGAAAGACTCTGTCTCTTCTTCTACCACAGATCAATTACCAAAGGACATCATCCCTGCCCCTGACATGGGAATTGGAGATGATAAGGTTTCAACCTTTTTTCAGCATTTTTTTGCTTTGTTGACTTGTTTCTTTCATCTTTTGAGCTAATGTTGAAGTTAACTTTTTCATAGGATACGGACGGTGGGATTATCAAGGGCAATGGGACTGAATCTGGACGGATTATTACCACCAAGAAGAAGGGTTTGAACGATCAAAGAGACAATGTGATTTTTTCAGATTTTGCTTCGCTTCTCTCTGTATATGAAACCATTTTTATTCATTGTTCATGGCTTTTCTGATATTTTTTTCTTTTCTTTCTTTCTTATGTAGACAATCTCCTACAGAGCTGAACATGTGATTGGGACTGGCTCCTTTGGTGTTGTCTTTCAGGTTTATTAAAAAAATAAACAGACTCACTCATCAAAGAGATTTATTTGTTTTGAAATGAGACTTATGTTTATTACGGGTTCGATGTTAGGCTAAGTGCTTAGAGACCGACGAAAAAGTAGCAATCAAGAAAGTGTTACAGGACAAGAGATACAAAAACAGAGAACTTCAGATCATGCGAATGCTCAATCATCCTAATGTCGTTGAGCTCAAGCATTCTTTCTTCTCCACGACTGAGAAAGACGAGCTTTACCTTAACCTTGTTCTTGAGTATGTACCCGAGACTATATACCGCGCTTCCAGATCTTACACCAAGATGAATCAACATATGCCTTTGATCTATATTCAGCTCTATACCTATCAGGTACAGGGATCAAGCTCTTTTTGTGATATTTATTCTCAACTTTTGGGATTCTCAGAGAAACGTTCGTTTTTGTTGAAACCAGATTTGTCGTGCTATGAACTATCTGCATCGCGCAGTTGGAGTGTGTCACCGTGACATTAAGCCGCAGAATCTATTGGTAAGCAGCATTTTAAAGTACTTTTTGTGAAGGTATGATAGATAATGTAGTACTTTTTCTCACTTGTTTTTTTTTATTCGGGAAATGTCTGATGCATTTGGCAGGTCAATAATGTTACGCATGAGGTAAAGATCTGCGATTTTGGGAGCGCAAAAATGCTGGTAGGTTTCATTTCATAGCTGTAAATGGGTATTTAGATCTCACCGTCTGTTATGGAAAACATATGTAGTGATGTCTTCTTGGTTACAGACTCCAGGAGAACCCAATATATCTTACATATGCTCAAGGTATTACAGAGCTCCTGAACTCATATTTGGAGCAACCGAGTACACAAGCGCGATCGATATGTGGTCTGTAGGTTGTGTCATGGCTGAACTTTTTCTTGGACATGTAAGAAAAATATTTTGTTCTGAGTTCTAGCTTTTGATTTGAGACATTTTCTTTGAACCTCTCTCTTGCTTTTAATGTCTACAGCCTCTATTTCCTGGAGAGACCAGTGTTGATCAATTGGTAGAGATCATTAAGGTAACAACAAACAACAGACATATATCTTTCCCGTTATCTGTTTTTTAGGGGGGTCTCAGATTCTCAGAGCCGTGTTCTGCAATTTTCTTTTGTATAATCAGATTTTAGGGACACCAGCAAGAGAAGAGATAAAGAACATGAACCCTCGTTACAATGATTTTAAGTTTCCTCAGATAAAAGCTCAGCCATGGCACAAGGTATATATATAAAAACTAAGAGATTTTAGAGAATGCGTATGTTTTGCTTACAAATGATTCTGCAACTCTTAACTCAAAATCGTACGGTTTTTTTCCAGATTTTCCGGAGACAGGTATCTCCAGAAGCAATGGATCTTGCCTCTAGATTGCTCCAGTATTCACCAAATCTGAGATGCACAGCTGTAAGAGAAAAACCCATTTGATTTCTGACATCATTAAAATGGCTTCTTCAACCCCTCTGATTTAACTCTGGTTTCAGCTTGAAGCTTGTGCTCACCCGTTCTTCGATGATCTAAGAGACCCAAGAGCATCCTTGCCTAACGGAAGAGCACTTCCTCCATTGTTTGATTTCACAGCTCAAGGTTTTGGGCAACAACACTCTTCTTTCCTTTATATCTTGCCTCCCACCGGGAAAACGCTTATCTTTCTCTTTTTGCAGAACTTGCTGGTGCATCTGTTGAACTACGTCATCGCTTAATTCCTGAGCATGCAAGGAAATGAGTCCATTTTGGTAGATGGCCACTTCTCTTCACAGATGTTGATATATAAATCTTTTTGATTTCGAGAGATTTTTTGTTTACACGTATAGCATTGTTCTGGTTATGAACCCTCACTGACCTCTGCAATCACATGTACTAGCAGTTTGAAAGTGTATAATTGTAAGTTGGTAACTTTGTAGCTTCCACTGTTGCAGACAGAAATGCAGAATTTTCCGAGTTTTTCTTCTAATGCAAAATGTTACCAATAGTCTCCGCAAGAACAGTTTCCATCTCTAAAGTGATGAAAGCAGTTAGAATCTCTTAAGATGATATGCCGAATATATACTTTCGATATGTACTTCATAGCATTGTGGCAGTCCCCACAGACACGAAGGTTTTTGATGATCCGGATTGGAGCTCCAGATGGTACAACAAGTAGACCAAACGCTACAGCTAACTTCTCACTATGGTAAGCCAAACCAAGCTCTTTGCCTTCCTTATCCAAGTCATGGAGGGCAAAACTCATATCCGCTATATAACCAGCCTCTTTAATCAAAAGCATCATTTCATCAACCTTGGAATATATCTCAACCATTCTCGGATGTCGTCTATCTTCAGACATAAAGCTATGAACTTTACCTTTCTCTTCAACCCAACTGCAACCAGGCTCTTTGCTTATACTACGAGATTTCATCAATCTACGTAAATTTGCAGCTTCGTCTTGTCTTCCCACTGCAGAATACATGTTTGATAACAGAACATATGGAACAGCATTGTTTGGTTCCAATTGCATGAGAGTTTTTGCTGCTCTTTCTCCGTTCTCAATATTCCCGTGCTTCCTACTTGCAGCCAATATCGCTTTCCATACAGTTGCATCAGGTTCAACCTCCATTTGATTCAATAATTCCTCTACTTTAACGAAATCACCAGATCTACCAAAGAGATCAATCATGCAGGCATAGTGTTCAGGTCCTGGTCTGATTCCATAAACTGTTCTCATCGAATCAAAGTAGCTTTGAGCTTCTTCTATGAGACCCGCATGACTACAAGCAAATAGTAACCCGATAAAGGTAATGTAATCTGGTGTTATGCCACTGCCTATCATTAGATAGTATGACTTTAGGGAGTCCTTGGCTTTGCCGTTTTTTGCGTAACCCACAATTAGAGCAGTCCATGTTATCAAATCTCTAATTTCCATAGAGTTGAATATAACATTGGCATCTTCTAAGCTTCCGCACTTCGTGTACATTGTCACAAGAGAGTTATTTACTGACAATGATGATGGAAAACCAGATTTAATATAATTCCCATGTACCTGTTGCCCAAACTCCAGAAGAGTCAACTCTGCCGAGGCACTTAATACACTCGCCGTAACAATCTGATCAGGAGAAATGCCTCCAACTCTCATGTTACAGAACAACTTCACTGCTTCTTCATAAGATCCGTTATGTGTATTGCCTGTGACCAGAGCCGTCCAAGATATCACATCCTTCTCAATCATCCCTTCAAAAACTTTCAACGCCGAATCTATAATTCCTCTTTTAGCATACATGTCCACAAGAGCGTTGTTCACAAGTTTGTGAGTCCCATACCCGGTTTTCACAATCAGACAATGTGCGGAAGAAGCTATCTTTATTTCTGTCCTAGACAAAGAAAAACAATTTAAGATGGATGGGATTGTGAAATCATCTATTTTCATATCTCGATCATGCATTCTTCCAAACAAGGACAGAGCTTCTTCTATAAGACCTTGCCTAACACACCCTACAATCATCGAGTTCCAGGAAACCACATCATCGGATTCCATACCTTCTAACAAAGCTCTTGCCGTTTCCAAGTCTCTGCATTTAACATACATATCAATCAATGCGCTCTGGACATAGATATTGGTGTTGAAACCACTCTTAACTATGCAACCATGTACCTGGACTCCTACCCTGCGAGAAGAAACCGAGGCACAAGCAGTCAAAACACTAGGAAATGTAAATTGATTCGATTGACTTCCATCTCTCCTCAAATCCCTGAAACACTCGATTGCCTTGAAAGCAAATCCATTTTGAGAGTAACCAGTGAGCATTGAAGTCCATGTAACATTATTTTTCTCACCTGACATAGTCCCAAAGAGGAATTCAGCTTCAGAGATGCGTTTGCATTGTGCATACATAGCGAGAAGGCCATTCACCACATTAACATCCAAATCAAACCCAGTTTTGAGTGTATGCCCATGAATCTCTTCACCTCTCAGAAGCAAAGCAAGCGAAGTACAAAGCCTAAGAACACTCCCCAGAGTGTACTCGTTAGGTTTAATCCCCTCAAACTGCATTTCCCAGAACAAACGGAAAGCTTCATCTTCAGGTCCATGGTTGCAGTACCCAGAAATCAGAGCGTTCCATGAGATTGTATTCTTCACTGGGTTACTACGAAAAAGATGTTCTGCATCAGAAAGTCTCCCTGACTTGGAGTAAGCAACGATCATAGTGTTCCAGGTAAACTCATCCCTCTCAGGCATTTTATCGAACAGTTGGCGGGCTTCGTTGACCCGACCGGACTTAGACAAATCTCCCAACACCAGATTCGAGTGAAGTTTCGTTCGATCAGCATAGCTGTGAATGTTATTACCAAACCGTTTCAAATGGAAACGGAAGATTCTGACATTCAATCTGTGCATCACGAATTCACAATGCACCGCGATTAATTTTAAAGTTCCAAACTCTTTTTAACGACGCTACGTCGTAACGCAACCAGTATCAAGTGAAACGCTACGTTTTATAAATTATTAAAATAATATATACTCTCTTGAAACGCTGCGTGTAAAATAAAATAACTTGTAGACTTTGTAATCCTGATTCGACAAGTATGTATTAGTAGAGATTGCAAGAAACTTATTAATATTGTTTTTTTTTTTTTTAATTGCTTGATGATAGTTTATGGTAGACAACAAGAAGAACCAGAATAAGAAGAAAACAAATAAACCTAAACGAATTATATGTCTTCTCTCTCTCTCTCTCTCCCTACGAGGCGATTTGCGAATCGTTGCATCTCCTCGTTTCTCTTCTCCGTTGCGAGTGTTTGTCGTCGGTTACCGGCGGTTTCTTCAGGGCAAGGCAACGGTAAAACGGTTACTTGCCTTGTAACCGTCATCCATCGAAACCTATATAAGTCCTGCGTTTGTCTCTGTTATCCTCAGGTTGATCGGAGTAAAATAAACCATTTTCCTTTGTTTATTTTACTGATGGCTGACAAGATTAGGCGACAAATGCAAGAAATTGCTCTGGGCATTGAAGATGAAAAGATTAATCTCCCGATTGATCTCTGTGAAGAAGCGATACAAGCAACACGATTTAGTTTAATCGTTAAACCAGTCAACCCACGGAAGCAAAACCTGCGGGCTATGTTGGGAACTCTGCCTCGCCTTTGGGGCGTTAATGATGAAGTTTCGGGTCGGATTCTGGAGAATAAGCGTGTCCAATTTCTGTTTCCATCTGAGGAATCAATGGCTGCGATTGTTCGTCGTGGACCATGGTCTTTCAATGATTGGATGTGCGTCACTGAACGGTGGACACCAAACCAGACGAATGAAGATCTGAAGACCATTCCATTTTGGATACAGATCCGTGGGATTCCTGTCAACTATCTCACACTCCGTCTCATTACCTTCATTGGAGACTCCTTGGGTCACTTTTTGGAAACTGACTTTGGTGGTGACGGAGCGGTGCTTGTTGACTATGTTCGTGTCCGCCTGCTCTGGAACATTGATACTCCCCTGAAGTTTCAGCGTCAAATCCAGTTTGGTGATAAGACATGTGTCCTGAAGTTCCGTTATGAGAAACTCCGAAATTTCTGCTCTGTTTGTGGTCTCATGACACATGATGTTGTTGACTGCCCCTCTGGCCACAATCCTCCACCTCCCCCAGCGGATGAAGACAATGATGACCCTGATTACAACCCTGAAGACCTTGATGCTAATCAACAAGATACGCCGGAAGAACACCCAAGGCAGTCTCCACAGACCACGACTGAGAAGGAGACAACTCCAACTGCTTCAAAGAAGAGGAAAACGGACTCAACGCCATCCTCAGAGTTTATGGCTTTCCCGATGGTTTGCAGTGATACACGCCACACTTTTGCAACAGAGGACACTCAGCAATGCTTCTCTAAGCGTAACCGACGGCAGTCAGAAGTTCTCGAGACACGTAACTGGTTTCTGCTCCAAACGGAACCAGTGGAACATGCTCCAGGCGCCACAGAAGGCGACACTTCGATCAACCATGGTGACGGTACGGTGGGCCATAAGCCACCGGAGGCGCCATGAATACAGCCTTCTGGAACTGCCGGGGCTTGAAAGGGTCCCTGGTAGTTCGACGCCTAAAAGGGATTAAGGCAACTTATTCCCCGGACATAGTCTTTCTGATCGAAACGAAGAATCCCGACGATGTCATCCGTGATGTTGCAGCGCAACTGGGTTATGATTGTGTTAAGTGTGTATCTCCTTTGGGTATTGGGGGTGGTTTAGCTATGTTATGGAAGAAGACAATTTCAGTTTGTTTCAATGTTGTAGATGAAAGAATCTTTGACTGCAAAATCAATAATAAAGAAATTTCTTTCTACTTCTCTTGCATCTATGGTCATCCAATTCGGCAACTTCGACATATTTTATGGGAAAGACTCCAACGTATCGCTTTAACAAGACATGGCCCTTGGCTAATGTGTGGAGACTTCAATGAGATCTTGAGCAATAATGAGAAACGGGGTGGTTGCATAAGACAGAATTGGAGCTTTACTGATTTCAGAAATATGGTTAATATCTGCAAAGTGTCTGATCTTCCATATAAAGGAAATAATATGACTTGGGTTGGTCAGAGACGTACACATACGGTTGAATGTTGGCTTGACAGAGCCATGGCCAATGATCAATGGCGAGCAAGCTTTCCGGCTACAGAGGTAGAGTACCTCGAGATGATTGAATCTGACCACCGACCAGCTATTATTAAAATTAGAAGAACTACAGAACGAGGTATTAAACCATTCCAATTTGATACTAGGCTAACTTCTAACCCAGATTTTCAAGGAGTTGTGGAAAGAACCTGGGGTGAATCTGAGTCATTACAACTATCCCTCAATGCACGAATACGTCTATGTCGCCGTACAATATCAGCTTGGAAACGTAGTAATGCTACAAACTCTGCACTTCGTATCAAAGAACTGATCTCAGAAATAGACCTTGCTCACACGAGTCCATTGACGTCCTCCAATCATATTCAAGGACTTCGCAGAGATCTGATACTAGCTTATAAGGAAGAAGAACGTTTTTGGCATTTAAAGAGTCGAAATTTGTGGATGCAACTAGGAGACCGCAATACGCGTTTCTTCCATGCCTCTACAAAAAATCGATTAGCACGAAACCGGTTGACATCGATCATGGATGAAGGAGGTACACGTCTTTATGGTAATAAAGATATTGCTACTGAAGCTATTACATATTTTGGTAATTTGTTCACCAGCCCTGGTCCTACTCCACTTGACTCTGTTCTCTGCAATATCACACCTCTGGTTACTTCTGACATGAACCACTATCTAACCTCTGAGGTGACTGGTGATGAAATCAAGTCTGCCCTTTTTTCAATTGGAGCAACTAAAGCTCCGGGTCCTGATGGTTTCAATGCTGCTTTCTATCAACACTACTGGGACACAGTTGGGACAATGATAACTATGGAGGTTCAAAATTTTTTCGTGACGGGACATCTCCCAAGAGAGTGGAATCATACAAATTTATGTCTAATTCCAAAGATTACGGCACCAAAGACCATGAAAGATCTCCGGCCTATCAGTCTCTGCAATGTCTTGTATAAGATCATCTCAAAAATTCTAACTCAACGACTGAAAGGTGTAATGTCTGCAATAGTCTCTGAGAACCAAGCTGCCTTCATCCCTGGTCGTTACATCACGGATAATGTGCTTCTTGCTCATGAAGTACATCATTCTCTTCAGGTGAGAAGACGCTGTGCTACCTCCTATATGGCTGTGAAAACCGACATAAGCAAAGCCTACGATAGGATTGAATGGAATTTTCTAAGGGCTGTATTAGAAAGAAAAGGGTTTCATCCACGGTGGGTAGATTGGATTATGGAATGTGTCTCCTCGGTGTCTTTCTCAGTTCTGATCAATGGGAGCCCCTATGGTAACTTTAGTGCAACTCGTGGCCTACGTCAAGGAGATCCTTTGTCTCCCTCACTCTTTATCCTTTGTGCGGATGTATTAAGCTCCCTCCTATCACAGGCGACTAGCGCTGGGGACATCAATGGAATCCAACTTAGTAATGGTGGCCCCCGTCTTTCGCATCTCCTCTTTGCCGATGATTCACTTTTTTTCTTAAAAGCGGACCATAAAAATAGTACAAATCTCATGAAGATTTTTAAAGCCTACGGTGACGCTTCAGGACAGATAATCAACTTCGATAAATCTTCTATTACTTTCGGGAGTAAAGTCTTTCACCAAACACGTGACCGAGTGAAAAGCACCCTACAAATACCAAATGTAGGAGGAGGAGGCAAATATTTAGGCTTGCCTGAACAGTTTGGACGACGCAAAAAAGAAATGCTACAATACATTCACACCCAAGTACGAAAAAAGATTGACGGATGGCAAACTAAATTCCTCTCGCCAGCCGGTAAAGAAACACTTATCAAATCTGTGGCATGTGCAATGCCAGTTTATTCGATGAATTGTTTCAAATTACCAATGGAGCTTTGTTCTGAACTAGATAGCCTGGTTGCACGGTTCTGGTGGGGCTCAACACAAGACAAAAGAAAACTATCATGGGTTGCTTGGAAAAAATTGGTTACTACTAAGAAGGAGGGTGGCCTGGGATTTAGGGAGTTCCATCCTTTCAACCAAGCACTTCTTGCTAATCAAGCATGGAAGATTCTGAAACGACCAAATAGCCTTATATACAGAGTTCTTAAGGCACGTTATTTTAGAGATAAGAACTTTTTTCTGCCTCTAAGGGCAATAAACCATCTTACGGTTGGCAATCCTTACGCTTTGGTGGAGAATTGTTACGCAGTGGTGTCCAATTTGTAATTGGTGCTGGCCATAGCACAAAACTTGGAGACCCATGGATTCCGACTACACCCCCAAGACCACCTCAGCTACAAAACGCTGGGAATGCGGATTTACCTGTCCAGTTGTTGATTGATCCGCATAATTTTTGTTGGGATTCACATCAACTACATCGATATATTGCTCCTCAGGACCATCACTTGATCCAGAAGATATTTCTCCCACAAATCTCTACGGTTGATGATTATCTTTGGAACTATACAAAAGATGGTGAGTATAGTGTTAAATCTGGCTACTGGAAAGCTTTGACCATACAAAGAGACGAAAATGCTCCAGCCGCACCATTAGCATCAACTCCGGATATAGCAGGTACGATATGGCAACTCGACATCGCTCCAAAACTTAAACACTTTCTTTGGAGACTCGCCTCAGGAGCTATTGGTGTTGCTGAGAATCTACGCTGCCGCAACATTAACGTCAACCCATATTGTTCATGGTGCTGTTCGGAACTTGAGTCTAGTGATCATATCTTCTTTACATGTGCTCAAATTCAACCCATATGGAGATTGGCTGGGGTTCCTTTGAACATACTTGGTGATACTACCACTTCCTTCGCGGATAAATTAAGGTACCTATTCCGTCTCCATACTGATTCGTCCCTATCACCTTTCAATAGAACATCTCCATTTCTGGTTCTATGGCGTCTTTGGAAAACCAGAAATAACCTAGTGTTTAACCAAAAATCCACCACTACTGAAGAGGTTTTTAAGTCCATCTGTCTCGATACAGAAGAATGGCTAAACCATCTTACTCCGGATGCGACCACAAAAGCTACAACTACTAGGCCGTTATGGCCCAATGCACCTACACGACGCAGTAACTGGACACCCCCTGGTCGAGATTGGGTTAAGTGTAATTATGATGTTTCACACCATGAAGGTAACCGGGATTCGGGATTGGGTTGGCTCATCCGTGATTCACAAGGTACTTTCCTCGACGGCGGGATGGGACGGTTTCAAGGTCGGTATACTGTCGTCGAAGCAGAATGCTCAGCCTTACTCTGGGCGCTACAATCATCATGGGCTCTTGGTTACCGTTCAGTAATCTTTGAAGGGGACAATCTTATGCTAAACAGAGCCCTGCAGAATCAGACCAGAAGCCCACGTCTCAAGAATTATGTAAACACGATTCTCCAATGGAAGTCAATGTTTAGTTCTGTATTGTTTAACTTCCAATTCCGTGAACAAAACTCATGTGCTGATATTCTTGCCAAATCAGTATTACTATCCTCGCAGAGGTATGCCTTGTATCATGACTGTCCTCTATTTTTACGTTCATATGTAAACAACGATTGTAATAACAGTTTATAATAAAGTAATTGGAAGGAAAAAAAAAAAAAAAAGAAGAAAACAAAAAGACTCTCTTTAAGTTTTGCAAATATAATTACAGAGGCATATAAATTGTCTGGCAACTGTCAAATAACACTGGCCAGTTCCTTGCAACTGCTTGTCACACAGATCTGTGCATATGGCTCCCTCACAATGGTCATTCATCAGAATCTGATGACATATATGTTGTCCTTGTGTCTCCTTTGCCATCATCCCTGAGAAGATATATTTATATTATATCTAAAACCATGAAATCTCTCAACATATAAACGTGAGGTCTCTTATTTGATTTTATAACAATGCTTAATTAGAGAATGTTTAAAATGTAAAACAAACCTAGGAAGAAGACAATGAAGATAGCAACAATGGTGATTTTAGTCATCTTTTGAAATGATTTTACAGGTTATTTGTATTGTTCATGTAGATATCAGCTCTCTATATACTCATGATTTGTATGTAGATATCTAATGTACAGTCAACCCTTTGTTTGAATAGCAAAAATTAAGATTGGATGCGTTTGATTTGGAAAGCAATCCTATGTTAATTAGAAAGAAAGACTAAAAGTCAAATAATATTGATTATATATATTGTGACCCGAAATAAATATAGTGATTTCTTTTCAATAAAAACAATAGCTACATTTAAAGCTTACAACCAATGGGATAATTAAATGGAAGCATTTGACTGAAAAATCAATTTTTATAAATAATTTCAAAAAAATTAAAATAAAAAAAGCAATCTCTTCAAATAGAATTGAATTCAAATACCATTTTTCCAAATCTTTTCAGTAAGTGCCATTTATTTTATCCAATCCAACAATAATATTTAGGGAACTAAATAATACACAATTAAACATTGAAGTATCATCATCAATTTACCTTTATGAATCATTAGAAATATTTTTTGTTAAGATTACAATCTCTAAATATTTATGAGTTTTCTTTATTTTTAGTTCGGTTTGATTTCAATAAGCTTATAGTATCAATTCAAGTTTTTAGCATATTAATTCGGATTTAATTATGAGATAAATTTCAACTATATAGGATTGTTTTAATTATTTTTTTGCTTACCATTTCTATATAATTATTAAAATTTAATTAATATATAAAAATAAACAATTATTAAATTATTTTTAATAAATTTAAATAGATAATTTTATCAGCATATGATTAGAAAGATGTGTTAAATACCAAAAGAATGTTACTGGAATATGTGTCATTTTTTAAGTTTAAGCATTACAATATGAGTCATCCCTACTTAATTTCGTTTATCTTGATGTAAGTTTTAGATTTTAGGAGTGGCCTAGAGAGTTAATAAAATCATATTCTGAAATAATATATGTACATAAAAATATGATTTGAAACAGAAAAATGATTAGTTACCATAATTGTCGGATTTTAATTTATAAATTACTATGATTTTTTAAACTGATATCATTCAAAAACATCTTCATGAAAGATCACAATTATAGTGTGAATTTAATTAAACAGTGGATTTTAATTTTACTATTATTTGTTTTTTTTATTAATATCAGATATCTTTTTTTGCAAATTTTGAGAGAAATTTCGTTTTATAATTTTGGTAATTTGTGAGATTACCAAATTAACGGTAGAAGATTTTTGATTATTTGATGTAGGCAATATCGATATGTAGAAGCTAGGGCTAATTGTTTAGTTGACGTATTAACTTTGGTTTAGTATTTATGACTGAATATTAAATTTCTAATTTATGCACGCCAATTAAATTTAACTAGGGATGGACCCGCACGTACGTGCGGGGATGATTGCAAAATTTAAATTTATCATAAAGTTTGCAATATTCGGACCGACATGATAAGAAATCCGGATCGAGTGTGAATCAAATTAATGATACGTTAGAAATCAATTAAATTTGCGAACTATTACATCACATAAAAACAATAGAAAACATTAAAACTTTTGAATAAAATAACATAAATATAGATGTCAAGAGAGTCAAACCCGTTCACTATACATGTCGTGCAACAAAGTAAAATATTTTGGCCCACCCATATGAATAAGTAATATGTCTTCTTGAATGTTACCCATAATTCTCTCTGTATAATATTAGACTTAGTTAAGATAATAATTTTTATTTTCTAAATTACCGTTATCTTTCCGTATCCGTTATTCTTGTCCCGATATTTGAAATATTTAAGTAATTTGAAACTTACTTTTGCTATTTAAATTTCATATTCCTGTATCATACCAGTCATTTGATATTTAAACTTAGAATGCATGACGGTAGGGGTTTGCGAATATCATCTTGTTTTTGATGAGAATTCATTTAGATACATTTTTTAATTACTCGTTCCTTTTTTGTACCCGTTCTTTCCCTCTAAGATAAGATCATATTTTTTTATTATAAATGACATCATTTACATGTTTTCTGTTTTAAAAATAACATTATATAGCCTGTAATTAACTAATTAAATTACTCGTCCGTTCTCTTTTCATATCCGCTATTTCTTGTCCCGATATTTGAAAGTTTTAAGTAATTTG